ACTGTGTTACAGTTCCTCCAGTCCCCGTTAAGGCGGCCCGAACATGGCTTCGCTGTTGCTCGGCAACATGGCGGCGCAGTGGACGGGTTTGGCGTCGCTGCGTTGAGGATGCGACCAATTCAGCAAGCATTAGCTCAGCTGTGGTCCCACTGCGCAGGGCTACGCAGATTATGCTCATAGCGCCAGAGTGGTTAATCCCTCACTTGGCGATGGTGGACGGACGCCGGAATTTGTCCAGGGGATCCCCTCGACACCCGACACCTTCCCTCTCAGTTCAGACAGATTCCCTCACAGGTTGGGGGTCCTGGGCGAAGCACTCAGCCTCCGCCTCTGGTCCGAGCGAGGTCAGCCTACACATCAATGTGTTAGAACTGAGAGCAGTCCGCAAGGTGTTCGAGTGCTTCCGGTGTTGGTGCAGGGGCCGTGTGGTTCGCCTAAAATGGACAATCAAGCGGCCATGTCTTACATTCTCAAGCAAGGCGGCACAGTGTCTCCGTCGCTCCTTCAGGAGGCGTGGCAGTTTCTACTGTGGTGCCACCAGTTCAACATTCGGGTTTTGCCTGTTTATCTCCGGGGTAGACAACGTCCGTGCAGATGCTCTCTCACGGCGTATACTAGCCCCACACGAAGTGGATGCTTTCGACCGGAGATATTCGGGATTATCTCCCAGTTGTTCGGGTCGTTCCAGGTGGATCTGTTTATGCGTCTGGGGTGACGAACCAGATTCCTGTGTTTTGATTCGGATCCGATGCGTGCTAGCCAAATCCACGCTTTTCAGCTAGATTGGACGGACAGGGTACTGTGGGCCTTCCCCGATACCACTGATTTCCAGGGTCCTGTCGCGAGCTGACCGCACAACCAGCTCGGCTACTTGTGCTTCTGGCACCCCTTTGGTCGGGCACAAAGCTGGTTTCGGTAATTCTCAGGTTTCTGGCTCAGCCTCCTGTTCTATTACCTTTTCGACCGACCTCCTATCCCTGAACGGGCGCCACCCGAATCCCAGGATTCAGTGGGTGGCTTGGCCGCTATCAGGGATCACTTCCATGCGAAGGAATTCCTGCACCAGTTGCAGACACAATTCTGGCTTCGCATGGAGGATTCGACAAACGCTCAATATGAGGATAGATGGGCCTGTTATTCGCTGGTGGTGTGTCAACAGGGGGATTCTTGATCCCTTTTCTACAGATTTAGTCTGTGTGTTAGAATTCCTCCAGTTCTCGCTTGGAAGCCGGTCTAGCGGCTTCCACTGTTCGGGATATTCTACGGCTATTTCTGCGTTCATATTCCTGTTGACGGGTGCTCTCTTGGGGCAGCACCCTCTTGTACAGCTTTTAGCAGGCGTGGACAGAATCCGTCCGGTTGTCCGGCGGATTAGTCCTCGTGGGACTTGTCAATCGCTTCTTGATTGGCTGTCCGGTCCACTGTTTCACAATCTGTCGGCTCTTTCCCTCCAGCTGTTGACGGGAAGACGGCGCTTCTTGTGGCGGTGACTTCTGGCAGGCGGGTTGGCGATATTCATGCAATGTCGGCCGATCCCGCCGCTTTACTGTTTTTCACAAAGACAGAGTTAGCATTCGGCTGCCTGAGACTTACCGTCCTAAGAAGGATAGTCCCTTCCATGTGACGGGCGCTATTGAGCTCCCAGCTTTCACTCAGCCTTCCCTGTCCGTACCTCTCACGACGTGCTCACGCCTTAGATGTCCGTGAAGACACTTCAGGCTTATATCAAACTTAACAAGGGGTACCCGTAGGGTAACCAATTGTTTTGTTGTTATGGCGGGTTCAGGCTGGTCTTCCGCCACCAAGCAGACCATTTCGGTGGGCTTGTCTCTGCCATACATATGAGTTATACTCAAACAGGGCGTATCCCGCCTGTTGGGTTGAAAGCTCATTCGGTTAGGGCAGTAGCTACATCGACAGCTTACGCTGCAGCCCTGCCCATTGAGGGAGATCTGCTCACAAGCTATTTGGAGACGCCCGAGTAATGCTCATCCGTCATTACCAACTTGACAGACTCTCCAGTGAGCGTGCTCGGTTCGGTCAGTCAGTTCTCTCCAGTGGGCATGGTTCCACCTCTCTAGCCCGATTGAGCTTTCGAGGTTTTTTATTGTGTGAACCATTATCTTCCTATTTTTAACACTGGTGTTAGGTTTTACAAATCTTGTTACATTTTCCTTGGTGATGGGTTTTATGTGGTGCTGTTTTTATTCCCATGTCTCTTGCTTTCTAACCCAGAAGCTCTAGACTAAACTGCCCTTGGAAACTTTGCTGTTCATATTCCGCATTTCGCTTTCTGGGTTTATTATGGGACCCTTATCTTCACTTCCCAGTAGATTACGGGGAAGGAGGGAGGGTGTGTCTCGTTAGTTGCATTAGCGAGGTTTCATGGACAAATTTGCATATCGCTTAACCCTGACCCTGGCTCATGCCCCCGCCTGATTGGCTTTGGTGGACACGCGACCGGGGTAAGTGTGCCTTTTCTGCTATAATTAGCTTGGGAAATTCCACTTGTCGGGGTGTTTAAGCAGACAGAATGCCCTGAGATCCGTCTTTAGGAGTCTGTCTTATGCTTATAAGTACCCCAAGGAGGAATATATAAAAAGAATCGAACTAACCTGTAGAGGTTTCAGATTCTTTGAATATATTCCTCGCTTGACTACCACCTCCTCGCATTCTGTCTGACTTAAGCTCAGCATGGAAAGTGAGGTACGAGGTTACGGTCTAGAGTTACCTGCTCTTGGCTGTAGGGGGCCGGAAGGCCCTGTAAGGGTGGTCTCACAAGACAAAACGTAGTTTTTGTTTTGTAAATATTTTATTCAAATATTGTTACAACTGTCGTAGGGAATTTAAATGGACATTTAAATGCTTATAAGTACCCCAAGGAGGAATATATTCAAAGAATCTGAAACCTCTACAGGTTAGTTCGAATTTTCTTCATATTTGACAACAAGCTTCATATAGGGAAGGTGCAGGGCCCAGTTGATTTTGGTGACCTTCCCATAATTCTCAAGGTCACGGCGACACTTTGAAGATTTCAGCATGTTAGTCTGCATGTTAAGCTTGTCAGCGAGATACCTCAAGAACCGTTCACTGGATTTTCTTCATATATGAAAACAAGCTTCATATAGGGAAGGTGCAGGGCCCAGTTGATTTTGGTGACCTTCCCATAATTCTCAAGGTCACGGCGACACTTTGAAGATTTCAGCATGTTAGTCTGCATGTTAAGCTTGTCAGCGAGATACCTCAAGAACCAATCACTGGATTTTCTTCATATTTGACAACAAGCTTCATATAGGGAAGGTGCAGGGCCCAGTTGATTTTGGTGACCTTCCCATAATTCTCAAGGTCACGGCGACACTTTGAAGATTTCAGCATGTTAGTCTGCATGTTAAAGGTCACATGCAACCAAAAAATCAAACATAATTAAAACACAATTATCACTTATTCGTGACATATAATATACATTGCTGGTTATGAAAAAACATATAAACAAAATTATAAGCGTACAATCGCAAATCAAAAGTGCAATATTGTGTACTTCGGTTTACTTCCCAAGAAACGAAGCAGCCGGGATACCGAACCCAGTCAGAGCGGGTGGGTGTGCACTCAAGTGTAACGGCTGGTTCATTTGCAGATGCCCTCACGGCTTATTGTGTGTGTATATATAGAGATGTTGGGTTTTGTAAATACATGCTCATTTTTTGTGTATAACATTTTGCAATCAACAGACATCATAACATGTCATGTGTTAAACTATCACACCTGCCTGTCTGTGTAATTACATAATGTGACAGAGACCGAACTCGGGCCATAAATCAATGCATTTTGTTTATGGTGTATAGCCTGATTGGTGTTAAGTTCAAATTGCATGTGGTCAATGATAGCAGCTGTGTATTGAATATCGTCATTAGCAGACAGGCAGGCAGACACACAGGGGTCAATAAAACAAGACATTGAGTTTTGCCTGTGACAGCTACATATCTATATCACAGTTAGAAATTCTGTCAACGCTAAATAATGACATTGCTTTTAAGTATCGAACTGAGAAAGTGACTCGGTAAGAAGAACGTGTGGTGAAATTATATAAACAGTTAATTTACTGTCATAACATATAAAAGCTCGCGCGCCTGTGAGATATCAACAAAACATTAGAAAAATAGCTCACACCAAAGCCTTCACCGAAAGTATTCACCGACAACCCGCTTCAAACTGCGCGAACCTATTTCACTTTCTGCGACGTGCTATGAGCGCAGCCCAGCTGTTGAAACCCGTTTTCCCCAGAAAAGTCTGGGGAAAATTAGTGAAACGTTTGAACTCCGATTTCGCACGCTGTTTTTTCATCGCTTTTTTTTCAACTTTATAAGTTGAATTTACATTTTTGATGATTTGTTTCGGTAAGTCCATACCGAAAGGTATCAGAATCTGCAAAGTTGTGTTTTACGTTGCATGTGACCTTTAAGCTTGTCAGCGAGATACCTCAAGAACCAATCACTGGATTTTCTTCATATTTGACAACAAGCTTCATATAGGGAAGGTGCAGGGCCCAGTTGATTTTGGTGACCTTCCCATAATTTTCAAGGTCACAGCGACACTTTAAAGTTTACAGTATGTTAAGATTGTCAGCAAGATACCTCATGAACAGTTCACTGGATTTCCTTCATAGACTTTCAAGACTTTTCTTGAATGTTTTTTGATAAGCATTTTCTCTATTACTATTTTTAGCATATTTCATACACCATGACATTCATGTCAAGGTCAAAGTGAGTCTTGAAAATATTTGTGTGTTTGAACAGCTACAGAGCAGAACAATATATCAAGAGAGGTTGACTGGTCATGTTTTTGTTGACATTTAACTTCATCTTAAATTACGACGTTCACTTTCATTACTCTTTAAGTTTGATTTGATAATTTGCGGCGGGGGATTATCTCACCTTAGTGACAACTGCTTGTTTAAACTATTTTATACATTGAATCGTTTGCACACTCAACCTGTGTTGCAGCTCATCGAAAGGCAAGGTGCACTGGTCGGAGGAGCTGGAACAGGAGCTGCTGAGACTCTACGATGAATTCCGTGATGTGGAACACCCAGGTAAGACCCACCATGTGTCCATGAGAGGAACAGATGATCGAGATGCTTTCTTTGTGCTTCTGGATGAGAAATACTGCTGAAGATCTTCAAACAAGTTACAGTCAGGGATTGTTCTAGACCAGTCTGTGCCTAAAACTAGTTGCCTACTAGGACGAACAAGGCTCACAGCACTAGATTTTAGTGTTATTAATCTTAGTAGCTGAGCTTATCTGACATCAAGTAAGTGTGTTTCTTTGTAATTTGACACTGCGCTCAGCAATGTTCAGGTATATGACAACATGTTTTAAATATTCAACTCTGGACCAGTGAGTCCCATGACAGAAATAGTAGTAAGTAATTACTGTATGCAGAGGTGACTTGCGGCTAGCACAACACTGACAACAGTTCCAATGAAACACAATGTGACATTTTATGTTTGAGGTAATGACTTTTAAGAAAGTTCCAATCATATATGTTTTTGTGTAGCGATAGCTCTTAGTTTTGAATCCTGGATAAATCTCTTATATATGTATGATGATATGTAAAAAGCTTGTTGAAGCCACGTGTGGTGTCTGTATTGAATGTCAAAGCACCTGTGCAGCTCACAATGTGATGGAATTGTCACAAAATAAAATTGGTCTGGCCTTATCAAGGTCTATTTCTAATCAGGCGATCAAACTCCAACAACTTGCACAACTTGTGCTCGAGTAGCGACTGAGCTGAGTCTAACACAGCTGTGAACAGTATTACAGTTATACCACAGCTAGTCAGTTTCACATCGGACAAATTCAAGTATTTGAAGGGCATTTAGAAGTGGAATGCATAAGAAGAGCAAGATTTATGGATATCAACTTCTTTATTGTGAATGACATGACGTTTTGGAGTGTATGCTTGCTACCTTCATCAGGTCACCTGAAGGAGCAAGCATACACTCCAAAACGTCATGTTAATCACAATAAAGAAGTTGATCTCCATAAGTCTTGCTTTTCAAATATTTGTTACAGTTTTGAAATCATTGTATTTTAAGAAAAAGATACAGTTGACCTCATCATGGAACGTCTCACTGACCCCAGCAAAACTCGAGGTCAGGTCATCCGTGAACTGAAGAAACAGGGTTTGATTGGCAGTGCCAAGGAGTTGAAGAAGAAACCTTCAGGGTGAGCCTCATGTACATCATGATTTGTCCTGGATGGGGAGACACATCTGTCCTGGGTGAGCCTCATGTACATCATGATTTGTCCTGGATGGGGAGACACATCTGTCCTGGGTGAGCTTCATGTACATCATGAATTGTCCTGGATGGGGAGACACATCTGTCCTGGGTGAGCCTCATCTACATCATGATTTGTCCTGGATGGGGAGACACATCTGTCCTGGGTGAGCCTCCTGTACATCATGAATTGTCCTGGATAGGGAGACACATCTGTCCTGGGTGAGCCTCATGTACATCATGAATTGTCCTGGATGGGGAGACACATCTGTCCTGGGTGAGCCTCCTGTACATCATGATTTGTCCTGGATAGGGAGACACATCTGTCCTGGGTGAGCCTCATGTACATCATGAATTGTCCTGGATAGGGAGACACATCTGTCCTGGGTGAGCCACATGTACATCATGATTTGTCCTGGATGGGGAGACACATCTGTCCTGGGTGAGCCACATGTACATCATGAATTGTCCTGGATAGGGAGACACATCTGTCCTGGGTGAGCCACATGTACATCATGAATTGTCCTGGATGGGGAGACACATCTGTCCTGGGTGAGCCACATGTACATCATGAATTGTCCTGGATAGGGAGACACATCTGTCCTGGGTGAGCCTCATGTACATCATGATTTGTCCTGGATGGGGAGACACATCTGTCCTGGGTGAGCCTCATTGTACATCATGAATTGTCCTGGATGGGGAGACACATCTGTCCTGGGTGAGCCTCATGTACATCATGATTTGTCCTGGATGGGGAGACACATCTGTCCTTGGTGAGCCTCATGTACATCATGATTTGTCCTGGATGGGGAGACACGCCTGTCCTGGGTGAGCTTCATGTACATCATGAATTGTCCTGGATGGGGAGACACATCTGTCCTGGGTGAGCCTCATCTACATCATGATTTGTCCTGGATGGGGAGACACATCTGTCCTGGGTGAGCCTCCTGTACATCATGAATTGTCCTGGATAGGGAGACACATCTGTCCTGGGTGAGCCTCATGTACATCATGAATTGTCCTGGATGGGGAGACACATCTGTCCTGGGTGAGCTTCATGTACATCATGAATTGTCCTGGATGGGGAGACACATCTGTCCTGGGTGAGCTTCATGTACATCATGAATTGTCCTGGATGGGGAGACACATCTGTCCTGGGTGAGCCCTCATCTACATCATGATTTGTCCTGGATGGGGAGACACATCTGTCCTGGGTGAGCCTCCTGTACATCATGAATTGTCCTGGATAGGGAGACACATCTGTCCTGGGTGAGCCTCATGTACATCATGAATTGTCCTGGATGGGGAGACACATCTGTCCTGGGTGAGCCTCCTGTACATCATGATTTGTCCTGGATAGGGAGACACATCTGTCCTGGGTGAGCCTCATGTACATCATGAATTGTCCTGGATAGGGAGACACATCTGTCCTGGGTGAGCCACATGTACATCATGATTTGTCCTGGATGGGGAGACACATCTGTCCTGGGTGAGCCACATGTACATCATGAATTGTCCTGGATAGGGAGACACATCTGTCCTGGGTGAGCCACATGTACATCATGAATTGTCCTGGATGGGGAGACACATCTGTCCTGGGTGAGCCACATGTACATCATGAATTGTCCTGGATAGGGAGACACATCTGTCCTGGGTGAGCCTCATGTACATCATGATTTGTCCTGGATGGGGAGACACATCTGTCCTGGGTGAGCCTCGTGTACATCATGATTTGTCCTGGATGGGGAGACACTGATCTGTCATGGGGAAACACACATCAGCCCCACTGAGACACACATCTTGTCTCTTCTTCTTCTTTTTAAGTTCAATGTTTTATTGTCAGACAGTCCCTGTTACAGGTTTGAGGATCACCTCCAGGGTAAGGGTGACTCCTCGCTTTGTAAGGTATGAAATCTTAGTGGTAGACAATCTGACATTTTCTATACAAAAAAGGCAACTCATTCACACACATTCATGCTCATACTGTTGCGAGTTTAAATTAAGCAGCTAGCTTTTACTGTGTCTGCTTTTCTTATTATACTTAGGCTAAACTTACTGAAAAGTGGATGATAGATTGTCCACTTTGTGTAAAATTTATTGAGTTTATTTCTGCTTGAGAAACTAATTGTCTCAATAGAATACCTCTGTTCACACACTGTCTTAAAACCATCAATGTGTGGTTTTACCCCCTGCACCGACATTTATACACAAAGAATTAGCCATTAATAGTAAGAGGTCAAAACAGTATCTGTGACAGTATTTGAGTCACATCCAAATAAAACAAGTTCAGCAGAGAGCTTCAGATTGAATATATGGTCATATTTCTGAGACACACATCTTTTCCTGGGAGGTATGCACTTATGTCCTGGGGTTGACACACATCAGTCCTGGGGACATACATTAGTCATTGGAGGATGCATTCGTTGGTGGGAGTCACATTTTTTATTTGGGAAGACACCTATCGTTGGGGTACAGCACCTGTATTCGTTAATAGGCATCTGTCATAGAGACCTACCCTTTACAGGGATGTGAAATACCCACGAAAACGAGAAAATTTGTGTTTTCCAAAATTTATTTTCACGTAACAATATCACTTCCATGTTTTTCAATCAAATAGCGAACAAATATTTTCAGATCAAGATCTTATGAAAATCGTTGTTGAATTGTCATCAAGCCCCGGAAGTGATAAGATTTCCCGAATTTCCCCATTGTAGGCTAAAGGCCTTAGCTAGCCTCCAAGAAAGTGGCAGTTTCACTAACATAGATGAAATGTGATGCACATCTTGCTGCTCACTAACTATTTTTGTTGTTGTTGTCAGTATCAGTCGCAGCGACCCCTGGCGAGAAGAAGAGGAACTACAACTGACTGACCTCTACCATCAGTTCAAGGACTCCAGTGGTTGGTTATTTTCTGTTTTAAAGAATATTACGAGTTTGTTTATGTGGTTTTTGAAGATTCCCAATATATCAAATAACATGTCTGTCCTTTTCCAAAAAGCTGTATCTCGGCTTGTCATGTCCACAGGGAAATAAAGTTTGTTCATTTTGACAGATCCTCTTGGAAACATCTTGTCTAACCTGACCAACAAGAGGTCAAAGGCCAAGGTCATTGAGAAGCTGATAAATCTGAGTTTGGTGAATGATCGTAAGGAGTTGTACAAGAAACGCAAGCAAGCGCAAATCTGACAAGGCAGGATCAGACAGCGAGGATGATGTGAGGCGAGGAATCGACAGTGATGACGAGTTCAATGATGAAGGTATGGATGAAAGTGATAAAATATATTTAAAATCATAAACGATATTCGTAATAAAATCGCAGCCTTTCAGCTAGCCTGACCAAAAGTAAATTAGGGTCACATCATGGCCTGGTTGTGTGTGTTGGCTGTGCTCCTGTAAATCTTCCGCTTGGTCACTGCAGAAACCTCTGGACCAATAAAGCGGAAACTTCAGATGATCTTAATGTCATGAATGTGGTACATGTACTGAGCAGACGGACCATATTTCGTGTAGTTAAAGTTTGACCTTAATTACTAAAAGCTGAGTTTTCTTATGGTCTCATTCATTTTCATGTAAAATTATTTGTGTAGTTTCATTTTGGGCCTCAACTTAAAGTCTGTGTTTTTGAGAATTACTGTCCAGTAGATCATGGGGGAAATGTGTGGAGCCCATTTATTGTCTCCCATGCCATTATAGTGCTGGAATATTATGAAAAGTATAAGTTAAGTCTTTATTAATTAACCTTTCATCTTTTTTCATGACTGTAGGCCCCTATTCACTCTGTCCCCCACACATAGATTTTGCTGTGTGCATTCAGGTTTGGAAGAAGGACATGAGAGGTTCAAATCGTCAGCTGGTGAGAGCTCCAGTGACGAGGAAACGGACCAAGGAAGCACAGCAGGTGGAGGGGAGGAGACTCAGTCAGTGGAACAGCGTCTGAAGTCGGTTGTGCAGAGTGGCTACAGAGATCAGATTGCCTGGATACAGAGGGGGCTGAAGAGAACAGCCGAGGACAGGGAGAAGGATGGTAGGGATTTGTGGAGAAAATGGCTGAACTTACCCACGACATCTGTTATTATCTGTGTAGACCTTCGTTAGTGTTTGTTTCTACTCTTCTTTTACATCTCCTGCATGTTATCACTATGTGATTTGATACATATGTTTTATGTATTGTTATGATGTTGGCTGACAGAATGCCCTGTTTCTGAACATTAAGAATTTACTTTCACTTTGTAGGAGTTCACTTAATTTTGAGCCTCGAAATTATGAGGGTCAATCTGTATGAATGTCAGAGCTTACGGTAACGTTTAGCCCAATAGTCGAACTCTTCGAATTTTTTCAGCCCTATGTTGTGTAAATTATTAAAAATTAGTGATATAGCCTGGCACCTTGTCCTTTTCCTTCAGAGCATAGAGTGGCAGTCCCGATCGTGCCTCTGTCGGACGATAATGAGACAGCAATGGACGACAAGATGTTCCTCGACTTCCTCCAGCTTATCGGTATATCTCCTCCAGCCAATGAACAGGTGAGAAGCAGTCACATGACCAGCATGTCCTCCAACTGTCGGTTCTTTGGTGCCACGTCTGGAAATGATTGTACTGGGAAGGTGGCTGAACATCCACATTCCTCCTATAGTCTGTTTGCAGTAAAAACGTACCGATGAATTTCGATTTAAACAAAAAAGTAAATTGAATAAAGTGGAATTATGATTGCGAATCCTCATAATTTTACCTTGCCAAATGAACATTAAATTTGTAACTAATCCTGCACTACTTACTTCCTGCACTTATTGCTTACGACTCGAAAAGCGTGGTTTGCCAGACGATATTAAAAGACATAGAACTGCAATCACTTCCTGGTCTCAGCTGCTACTTGTCTGCGCATGCCACCTCAGCCACCTCAGATTATTGCATTTCGCACACCTCGCTAGACGTGTGGGTTGCCAGCTGTTCATTGTATCCTACGGGATTTTTTGTGTGGTTAATAAACTGATTTTGTGTGTATTCTTTTTTTCTTCTACGGTCTACTTCGAGAAGTGTAGGTATTATCTTTCACTTTCTCTTGTTATTTTAGTTAAGTAGTTCTGTTTAGTGATGTCGTTCGTTTATAACACGGTCCCGTCATCACTCTATCACTTCGCCATTACAACACTTCGCCGTATTTGTAGTCATTATGTTTCATTTGGTTCAGGCTTATATATTATACCATACAATAATCCCTCTCCCTCCTACAGCGCCTTTGCCACTTCTGCCACCTCCGACGCTTACGGCGTCTACGCCTCCTCCAGGCCTATCCTGTCTACTGTGTCAGCCCCTGTGCCTACGCCAATGTCCCCCGTTGCTTCCACGTCTTCGGCAGGCGGCCAAAGGTCGAGACCACGGAGCAAGGCGTCGTCTGAACGTAGACGTTCCCCCTTGCCGTTTCGTTCTCCGTCCTCAGACAGAGACTTTGCCCCAGACTATGACGAGGACATTGGCTCTGATCACCTTGGTTTTGATCACATGTTTGACTGGATTGCTGATCGTTTGGTAGCCTCAGTCCCTTCACCGGGACCTGATGTTGCACAGTCACTTACTGTTTGGGACTCGCCCTCCTTAATGTTACCGACACATGAGGTAGTCAGGGAGATTCTATCTACCCTTGATGAAGATTTCACGGGGATGTCTCTCAACCCAACTATTAAAGCGCCTAGAGTCCGGCGTGATGACTATCCTATTCATGGCTTGGACTTTGCCCAGACAGTGACTAAGGTGGATGAGGAGATAAAACGTGTGACAGGCTCTTCCTCTGTCTCCTCCTATAAAGTTCAGGACACAAGGGTAGCTGCTTTGGACTTGGAACTTAAGCGTATGCTCCGCCCTATATCGGCATTGGCGTCAGCGACTGATGCCATTACTCAGGATCTTAAGGAAGTAAATCCGGATCGACTGGATCATCTCACAACTAGGATGCTATGGCAGGGCAAGATGATCACTGACCTGCGTGAGCACCTTCGGTCAGCGCTTGCCAACGCGTGCATCATTCATCGGCAAGGTTTCCTCTCCTTTTCTTCATGGGATTCGGGGTTTCAACGGAAAATATTCCACCAACCCTGGTCGTCATCGACACTGTTTAACAACGCCATTCATGACATTTATCGGTAGGTGTGTGAATTTGCTAAAGGGGAGACAGCGCTGAAAGCTTTTCAAAAGGGACAACGCCCTTCCTCCATGCCATCCAACACCTACCTGCCTCGACGACCGTCTGTTCGGCGTGCCAGAAATACAGCGCCATCTCATGGCAGGGGACGTGGTGCCAAGCCTAGATCAGACAGGGGAGGTTATCAACATCGCCATGCTCCCGCCCAGGGCGACGGGCGTAGGGGCAAGTGAAGTGAGGGACATGCACGACTGGACACTCCCACCTCCAGTCGTCCCAGTTTATCCTACACTGGTAGGTGGGAGAATAGGGAACTTTTGGGAAAATTGGTCCATCCTAGAGGATCCATACGTCACCGATGTATTGAGGCAGGGGTTTCGGCTCCCCCTCCTCTCCGATCCACCTCTGACGCTGTTCCTGCACCGGCACAATCACTCCCGAATTCAACACGACCTCTTAGCGGAGAACATAGCTATTCTGTTGGAGAAAAGAGCCGTCGAATTACTCCCGCATCCCGTCACAACACCGTCATTCTCCAATATTCTTAGTGACGAAGAAAGGGTCCACGAAAATGAGGATGATTCACAATCTGTCATATTTCAACGAGACTTTCCTGGAACGTCCTCCGCACTTCCGAATGACGTCCCTCGAATACCTCAAATCCATGGTATGTGTCAACGATTTCCTTATCAGCCTGGACTTGCAGGATGCCTACCTCCATGTTCCACTACGCCCCAGCGACAGGAAGTACCTGTGCTTTTATTTCAACAGTCAACATTGCTGTCCTCCCATTTGGAATTTCAATGGCCCCGTGGTTGTTCACATGTATCACAACTTCTATTTCCCAGTATCTTCATTTGAGGGGCATCAATTTCGACCCGTACCTGGACGATTGCCTTATGCACCTGCTAGACCGTATGCTTCTTATACAACAAAGGGATTTCACCCTTTCGTCTGTTGCGCCAACTAGGTTGGTTGGTCAACTTGGACAAATCGGAGCTTGTCCCATCCCACACTCTGACATTCATCGGAGGCCATTTCCAGACGAACAAGAACCTAGTTCAGATTCCTCTGGACAGGTGGGACAAGATTCAGTCTCTGATTCCACGTGTGCTCTCCGAACCTCTGTCTCTCCGCGAGTGGCAGGCACTCCTGGGATTGTTGACGTCGGCGCAGGACCTTACCAGCAGAGGGCGTCTTCAACTTCGTCCTCTACAGCGCTTTCTTCAACCATACATTCGGCGGGCAGACGTTCATCAACAGTTTTGTCTTCCACCTCAGTTACATCGCTATCTTCTTTGGTGGACTCACCCATTGAACGTATTAGGAGGAATCTTTTTGATAGAGCGGCCACCAGATTACCAACTGTTCGTGGACGCCTCCATGCAGGGTTGGGGCGCTCACTTACACGATCAGATGGCCGTCGACTACGAGGAACTTGTCTTCTGGTGGCCACAGACAACACCACGGTGGTATGGTACATCCGGAAGCAAGGGTCGACAGCTCACAGTTTCTTCTCGATCAGACTTTTCGGCTCTTTCAACTGGTCGACGATCTCCACATTCTGTTGAGAGTTCAGCATATTCCGGGGTGCCGAAACATCCATAGCAGATGCTCTCTCGAGACCCGACAGAGTTGCTCCCACGGAATGGATGCTACACAAGGAGGCCTTCACTCTCCTAAGTCACGCTCTGGGTTCTCCAAACATAGATCTGTTTGCCACCAGCCAAAACCATCAACTGCCAGTGTATGTGTCCCCAGTCCCGGATCCAGCGGCTTGGGCGGTGGATGCTCTCAGCCTATCATGGGAGGGGCTTCACGCGTATGCGTTTCCGCCACCGGTTCTACTAAAGTACCAAAGTTCTCACAAAAGTCAACGAGACAGCTTGCCTTCGACTGATTTTGGTCGTGCCTTGGTGTCCGGCCAGGAACTGGTTTCCCGTTCTAAAAAGTCTAGTGGTAGGAGATACCTTTCCTCTACCCACGTGGAGGAACGTTCTCGTGCACCCTCACAGCCGTCTTCGGCATCCTGCTCCAGATCGGTTCAATCTGCACATGGACCATTTGCAGAAAGCTGAGTGCTAAGGGGTTTTCAGCCAGAGCAGCCAAAGCCATTGCGATGGCACACAGAACGTCTACTAGACACTTGGATGGCGACAAGTGGCAGTTGTTTGACCACGCGATTATTGAGCTGGCTGCTATTACATTGACAGCGATCCCTCAGATGACCGCCCACCTTCCAGCCTGTCGGATAAAAGTGCAGGAAGTAAGTAGTGCAGGATTAGTTAAAAGTTTAGTAAAATCTAAATATTTTTTATATTTGTATACTTATCCTGCACTACTTATGATAAGGGCCCACCCTGCGCTATCAGCTACCTCCCCGCTTTGTTTGCCATCTGTGGGATTTCTGGCAATAATCTGAGGTGGCTAACGTCACCTTCTGGTGACACATGCGCAGACGAGTAGCAGCCGAGACCAGGAAGTAATTGCAGTTCTACGTCTTTTAACATCGTCTGGCAAGCCACGCTTTTCGAGTCGTAAGCAATAAGTGCAGGATAAGTATACAAATATAAAAAATATTTAGATTTTACTAAAATCTCACAATTTTATTCAACTTAGGATAAAAGTTGTTTAACAAACGATCATAGTTTCAAATCGCTATTATTGGTTTGTATTGCAAGGGGGTATGCACATCAAATGAAACACCGAGAACAAGTAGAGTTGGTCTAAGTTAACGCTCATCACGAACCGCACATGCATTTGTTTCACTGTTCCAACTACTGCTCTTACCTCCTTGTAATACAAACCAATAATAGCGATTTCAATGTATGATCATTTGTTAAACAACTTTTATCCTAAGATGAATAAAATTCTGAGATTTAAATGTTCAATTGGCAAGGTAAAATTGTGACGATTCGCAAATATTAATTTCACTTTATTTGATTTACTTTTTGGTTTAAAGTGAAAGTCGTCGGTACGTTTTCACTGCAAACAGACTATAGTATGTATGATTCATCTATTGTTTAATGTTTCACACCACTGGACTCACAAATAGGACCTAAAATCCATGATTACTCATTAACCATGATTCAGTAATCCAGTAGTTTGTTACTCCAGACAATATCAGTGGAAAACTACTGTCGACATGTTTCACAGTATGTAAGATTTGTTTGCTTGCATTACACAATGTTTCAGGTATATGACAGCGACCTGTATAGTCTGGGCCAGACAGTACAATAATCGATATGAGAAATGACTCACGCCACTGCAGTGTAAAAATCCCAATTGATTACTTAGCCTCTTAAAAGCCTGATCTGATAAGGATTTGTTGATATAGCTTAAAATAGGTAACATATTGTGTTTGATTCCCTCTCAATAATTCCAACATCCACTTTTTAAAATTTTAGACAGATGGGAAATTATATTATGCAGGGATTTACGGGAGGCGAATTCCTGTGTCCTATACGCATAAAAATTGACAATGGATGCAACGAAATTTATTAGCACATCCACAGGGACGCAGAAAAAATCCAAATACTTTTTGATCAAGTAACAGTAAGTTATCACTGAGTTTGCTACTAGCTGGGTTATGATATCATTTGCAATTTAATTACTGTAACAATGTGATGATCATGATACACAATACAATAACAGTAACTGAATTACAGCAATATTACAACATAGTATTCATAATAATATTTAAGTGTCTGGGACCCCCATTTTGTAGTCCAGGACCCCTGAAAATTAAGAGTATGAGTCCAAGGGACCCTCAAATACAGGACTCAAGGTAAATCCCTGACTATAACTAGTCCATGTAAAGCGTCACTTGCCAAAGGATGCCACTAGGCCCACTATGCAGGTTGTAGGGAATATATGATCTATGTTCCCCTCTATGTTCATATGCTCCAGGGGGATTCCAGTTTAGAATAGGTCTTCGTCAACAGAATAGGTCTCAGTAACCAATATAGGTTCTAAGAAGTAGATAATTGTATCGGGTGGTCAGACTGTTGATTGCATGTGTTCGTACTGCGATGGCAAAGATTGTTGCTCACTATATTGACCACTGGATTATCTAGTCCAGATCTGATCATAAACAGGCAGTTCATGCGAAAATATCGGGTTCATATTTTTCATACGATGTCCTAGGGCAAAATATCTCTTGTTATGGTGATGTGACGTTATGAACAGGGCTGTGACATCACGTTTCTTCTGTGACGTTGCGTTCCACATGCGATGATGGCGGGTAGCCAGCCTATGTTTGAAAGTAGATTTAGGTTTATTTTCCTCAATTTGACGACTTTTGTAATAAATAGAATATTATATTCGGGCCCATACCATATCATGCTATGTTTACAACACTCACGCCTAAATATCGGTATATCCCTCGCTCTCACTTGGGAAATACCATAATTTAGGCATACGTGTCGTAAACATGGTATGACATGGGCACACATATAATGTCCTGTATATGTTACTGGATTTCGGCATTAAAACAAACAACACAGAAACACTGTTTTCCTATGTTCAACAGGAGGCTTTCTGGCGTATTCCTGCACATCTGTCAGCATCAGATCTCAACAACATCATCGACGGTCTGGAGCTTGATGAAAATGGGGAGCCTTTGGCTGCAGATAAAATAAAACCAGTTCAGAAGGAGAAGGCGAAAAAACAGCGCAAGACAAAATCTGTTTCGGCTTCACAAAAGAAGGACATGGCAGAACAACAAAAGAAAGAGAAGATGCAGAAAAAAAAGGAAGAAAAGAAGAAGGCTCGTGACAGGATGCAAGCTCTGAAGGCTCTGGCCAAGCAGAGGAAGGATGGCAGGAAGAGGAAGAGGTGAGTCTCCTGTGGTGGATCAACAGGTCAAGATGGTTTAGTCAGTGAGTGGTGGATCAGTCAGTGAGTAGTTGGTGATGGTGGATCAGTCAGTGGGGGTGGATCAGTTATAGGGTGGGGTGGATCAGTGGATCAGTTGTAGGGTGGTGGGTGGGGGATGGATCAGTTGTAGGGTGGAGGATCAGTGGTGGAGGATTGGGGGTGGGTGGTGGTGGATCAGTTGTAGGGAGGTGAATCAGTGGGTGGGGAGTGGGATCAGTTGTAGGGTGGTGGATCAGTGGGTGGTGGTGGATCAGTGGGTGGGTGGTGGTGGATCTGTGGGTGGGGGTGGATCAGTTGTAGGGGTGGTGGATGGGGGTGGATCAGTGGGGGTGGTGGTGGATCAGTTGGTGGTGGTGATGGATCAGATGTGGGATCAGTTGGGGGTGATGGATCACTGAATGTTGAATCCCATTTCACTTCACACACTTGTCCGTGCATATTCTGGACCAAACACAGACACTTATCCAACTCATTCACTCATTCCCAAATTCACTCTCACTTATGTTACAGAATATAATCAAAATGTACACACTTCACATTATTTCCAGAAAAGATACCAATAACAGCTCAGAATCTGAGGAATCAGAGAAGGAAAATATTGGAGAGGACCATGATGAAGCTAACATGCTCAGTGACAACATTCAACAGACATCTGGAGCAAGGGAGGCAACTCTAACAAAGAAGAAGCCACGGATCAAGAAAGTGGTTCAGTCTGATAGTGACAGGTAATGCTCCCTAATAATATCAAGATATATTAACACTATTTCTGTATACATCATTTTGCAACATCTATTATCCTCTAGTGCATTGACACGTGAAGATCCGGGGTAGAATAGGTCTTCAGCAACCCATGCTTGCCACAAAAGGTCCTCTATTATCCTCTAGGATCGGGTGGTCAGGCTCGCATTAACTGACTCTACCCTTAAAGATCGAGGTTCATGCTGTTGATCTTCTGGTCAGACTTGATTATTTACAGACAATATAGCTGGAATATTGCTGAGTCAAAACAAAGGCACTCAAACTCACCTCTAGTGCATTGGATCAAAACTAGGCTTCTGCAACCAATGTTTGTCGAAAGATGCATCAAACAGGATGGTTGGTCAGCCTTGCTGACTTGGTTGACACATGTCGTCGTATCCCAATTGCATAGATCAATGATCATGCTGTTGATCACTAAATTGTCTTTTCCAGACTGAATTATTTACAGACCACCGCCATATAGCTGGAGTATTGATGATTGCAGTGTTAAACAACAACCAAACAAACTCTGAATTGTGTGTTCAGCAATGTTTCCTTCACATATTTCTTACTTTGTTCTGAAAAATCACTTCAGTTATTTACATTATTTTAAGTATTTTATCTTATGTTATGTATGTAATATTTTCTAGTTGAGCTTCCGTCAAAAGGCAGAAAGTATTATCATTGTCCTGAATGTTAAACAACCTTCCTTGTGTTTCCAGTGACGACAACCGATTGATAATTGCTGGCAGTGAAAACGACTTCTCTGATGGTAAAATGAATCAAGCAGACCCTCTGCAAAACGTCCTAAATTGTTTGACTCTGACAGTGAGGATGACTCTCAACCAGTTTCACAGCAGTCCGAGACCAGGACTTCTCCAGAGAAGCAGAACAAACTCTTCAACTCGGACAGCAGTGAAGACGAAGGCATGGACACTGTGGAACACTCTGATGCTGTGCGAGGCGACCGAGTGCAGACAGATGAATCTGGTGATGATGTTCCTTCAGCCTCCATTGCCAGCCAGATATCATCACACCTGGCCAATCATTCATTGAATTCGTCTCGGGTCACTGTTGATGACGAGGCGTCTGCTACCTCCTTGGCAGACGTGAAAGAAAAGCAGACGGTCAGGTCGGATGACTCGGACAGTGATGCTGCGTCTGTGGCTTCCTCGATAGTGCCCTTGCAGACAGGCAATAAGATTCAGGCAAATGGGTTTGATGATGACTCTGAGGCTTCTTCAATAATCAGCCAAAAGAAGGGGAGCAAACCGAGAACGAAGAAGAGCAGGAAATTAAACTCAGTTGATGACAAGTCTGGAGATGACTCAGGAGCTTCTTCTGCAACCTCACAGAAAAAGGGGAGGAAACAGATGAAGAAAAGTAAAAAATTAAACTTAAATGATGATAATGAAAAGTCAGATAGTGAATCTGAAGCTTTGGTAACCTTACAAACAAATACCAAAAAACATGCCTCAAAGAATCGCAAGATTCTATCAGATGATGATGACAATGAATCCATAGTCTCATCAATTAAGCCAGGAAGTGTCCAGAAAAAGTCTTCGAAACAGTCAGGAAGAAAAAAAAGAAAACCGACAACTGGTTTAGATTCTGACAATGAAGTTCTCTCAGCAGTAGAGAAGACTTCTGCTCAGAGGAAGCTAGTGGATTCAGACGGTGTGTCAGACTTGTCATCTTTGTCAAAAAGTGCAAAGAAAAAATCTGCTAAGAAACCGGGGAAGAAGAATGAAAGGGATGATTCCTCCAAGGAATCTAGAAAGACGCCAAAGTCAGCTAAGGGCAAGAAGGGGAAGAGTACAAAAACTTTGTTGCCAGAATCAGACCTGAAGAAGAAGACAACGAAATCTAAGCAAAAGAAAGCTGTCAGTGACAGTGAAGATGAACCCCTGGAGAAGTTCTCAACATCCAGAACCACCAAGACTGATAACTCCAGCTCTGAAGATGAACCTGTGTTAGCGTTACTCAAAGCTAAACCATCCCAAGTGAAGAGACAACACCCTGTTGACTCCAGCAGTGACGAAGAGGTGCTCGCTTCAGTGAAGAATCCTGAGAAACGCCAGCGTGTGACAGACTCAGATACGGAGATGATGTCGCCTCTCCAGCTGGCAGTGACCCCAACCCAGGATTCAACACAGGAGGTCACGCAGAAGGTTACACAGGATCCAAGGAAGCTGTTCGACTCGGATGATGACAGCAGTGATGACGAACCTCTCATCAACACAAAAAAAGACACAGGTGAGTTATCATGAACAATTGTATAGATATTTGTAAGTGGAAAATAGGCATGAATATCAGACGCATCTCCAGCCTTCATTTCATGACATTTGATTGGCTAAGCAAGAATTATTTTGTTTTCTGCCTTTGTTTCCATATACCAAAATTAAATTAGGTCAGACCCAGTAGCAAAGTGTTGTGTGGTCAGTCTCTCTGACTTGGTTGGTCCATGTCATTGTCTACCTGCAAAAGACATCCATCTGCCGATTAATTAAGTGATTGACTTTGCATCTATCAGAGGTCACTGTGTATAGTAAATAAAGGTGATTGGTTTATAGTTATGGGTTATTTGCAGCCATTTTTAATGAAGCAATATGTATCCTAGTGATGTATTCATACACACAGATTTTATGTGACCAGGCTGAATTTTGAAAGAGGTTTCAGTAAGAAAATGGAAACCTTTTTAACCAATCATATATTTGACAGATTGATGCAAATATTTCAGTGAAATATTTCTTTCAAATGTATGTACTTGTCCTGTGATCTACTAGCCCATTTACCTGTCAAGGATTGTGCTCCCAGCTCCCAGAGTTTTGCATAGACTGCATTTTGTAGCAGTCACAGGGAAAATGTATTTTGTTGGGATCACAATGTTTGTAGTGCAGAAACCTACACAATGTGGTTACAGATTGTTGTATATGGTGTTATGTTGTTGACAGACACGTTCCCGGCCACACTGTTGACTCAACCCGCTGGGGAGTCGGACTCCGATGTAGATGATCATGTTCCACTACGGAGAGTTCTCAAGAAGAAGCAGGTCATCGACAGTGATGATGATTGATCCAGTGTACAGAATTGTCTGATGTGATTGTGTCAGTGTACAGAATTGTCTGATGTGATTGTGTCATGTACAGAATTGTCTGATGTGATTGTGTCATGTACAGAATTGTCTGATGTGATTGTGTCATGTACAGTATTGTCTGATGTGATTGTGTCATGTACAGAATTGTCTGATGTGATTGTGTCATGTACAGAATTGTCTGATGTTATTGTGTCATGTACAGAATTGTCTGATGTGATTGTGTCATGTACAGAATTGTCTGATGTGATTGTGTTGTGTACAGTATTGTCTGATGTGATTGTGTCATGTACAGAATTGTCTGATGTGATTGTGTCGTGTACAGAATTGTCTGATGTGATTGTGTTGTGTACAGAATTGTCTGATGTGATTATTATGTGTGTACAGAATTGTCTGATGTGATTGTGTCATGTACAATTGTCTGATGCGATTGTGTCATGTACACTATTGTCAAGCTGTCTGATTGATTGTGTCGTGTTCACAGCCATGAATTGTCTGATGGGATTGTGTCATGTATAAAATTGTCTGATGGGATTGTGTCATGTACAGAATTGTCTGATGTGATTGTGTCATGTACAGAATTGTCTGATGTGATTGTGTCATGTACAGAATTGTCTGATGCGATTGTGTCATGTACGCTTTAACAACTAGGCCACCCCTCAGATAAAGGTCACTGTCTATGCAGTGCTCAGAATTGTGTGGTGTGACTGAGCCCTGCACTTAAAGTGCAACTCAGTTGCTTGTCTAGTCTGTGTCATGTGTCTGGCTTGACGCTGTGTCCAACTCACAGTTGTGTCATGTTTAGACTTGATTATTGACAGGCGGTCATGAAACCAATGGGACATTGCAGACAGCTGTATAAACAGCATTACTCCACAATTCACTGTACACAGCTGAACTTTCTCTTGTAATATATAAACGTACAGAATATATTTGAAGATCATATTACTACTGTATAATGGATGTCAGTTGCATGCTGTCTGTGTATGGAAGATGAATTTAAAGTTGGGAGGAACCCCAAAATCCATATTTTCTCAACTTCAGCAGTATTTTAATATTTTACAAAGTGCCAAATGAGACACAAAGCATTGTATGAAACTCGCAACAAGTTTGTACCAGACCACAGGGATGATTACTTTTATGACCTACTAGCCCCACTGAAAACCATCCAGTCCTATGAACATTATCTAAAATTATTTTTAATTAATATAACAGATATTTGATGAGCTTTATTTAAATGCACAACTTCCACAAGCTGATAACCTGTTGGACCCACATCAAGTCAACTGATCACAGTGTCACTGAGGGTAAAGATTACAGATGTCAGTATTCAAATATTAACCGGTCAGTCCAGAAAACATTTTTTGTGCCCAACACATAAAAAGTTCAACTGTTTGGGACGAATGGCTGCTTTTCCCGTACATTGTTCCTGTTATACAGACAAACTTTATGGATGAACAACTTCTTTATTCAGATGATGCAACGTTTCGATACAGATTCTTGTATCGCTGTTAAGCAAGTAAATTCCTGTCGTCAGTAATATATAAGTCTCTGCTTTTAGTCATAAAAGTGCGTTAAAATGTCACATTAGCTTCAGATTATAAGTTCAGTCTATATATATTTGGAATTTCCAGTTTTGGAATACACACTATGAATGTTTATGATAATTTCTGCACTGTTATATTGTGTATAATTTAGACGTTTAAGAGCGTTCAAAAGTGGTGTGCATTTTCTTTTGTTCAAATTGAAAATGTCTGAATGAGGTAAAAAAATATATAAAATATTTGATAAAAGTGAAATCTGATTGGCTTGTATTATTTATTTAGATTGGGCGGTCAAAGTTATTTTGACAAGTTTATTTCAAGGGAATCTCCTAATGAGTGGTTCATACAGGAAGATATTGTAGTGAGGTGAAATGTCTTGTTTTATGAGATTGAGTACCTTGTGGCCTCAGTTAATATGAGTTACAATGAGAATTCCAGGGAAGAATTTGTCACAAGGAACCCATGCATGGGGTAAGAACAAGGCTGATCAGATTATAGCTGGATATTTCATTCTGTCTGGTTTAGCTTCTGAAGAATGACTGAGTGTTCACTCACTGATTCAGTACCCATGAATTTTGTCGTAAGAGGCGTCCCACAGGATCAGGTAGTCAGGCTCGCTAACTTCGTCAAGTGATGTAATCGTATCCCGATTGCGTTGATCGATGCTCATAATGTTGATCACTGGATAATCTGGTCCAGACTTGATTATTTACAGACCACCACCATATAGCTGGGATATTGCTGAGTGTGTACTATGAGGATGTCATCTTGTAAAACTAAACTCACTCATTCAATTGCATAGATCGATGCTCATGATGTTGATCACTGGATAATCTGGTCCAGACTTGATTATTTACAGACCACCACCACATAGCTGGAATATTGCTGAGTGCGGCGTAAAACTAAACTCACTCTTTCAGTTGCATAGATCGATGCTCATGATGTTGATCACTGGATAATCTGGTCCAGACTCGATTATTTATAGACTGGCACCATATAGCTGGAATATTGCGGCATTAAACAGCAAACTAAATAAACCAGACTCAATGGCAGAATGGTAACACAATACAGTTTGTGTATTTAGGTAAAACTTCAGCCGTGAGTATATTTCAGTGGGATGTGTGGACTTCATGAGAGCACATTGATCAGATTTTAACCCTGGATATGTCCAGAATTCCAATTTAGGAAAAAGAATTTTTCTAAATTTCTTAAATTCTGAACTTAGAGTTATTTTAACTTTGTTTTTAAATAAAAAGCAAAAGTTACACCTCTTCCTCTATATTAGTTGATATAGAAAGGCTGAAAGGCAAGTACTTGTATCAGCTTAATTTCAGTAGAAACAATATGAGCACATATTTTGAGTATTGTAAAATATGGTATTTCTGCTGCATTTATATAGACAAGAGGGCCTATGAGTACGTGCAGAAAATCTCTGATGACTAAAACATGATGTACTGGTTTTATTATGAAGTAGGTTATATTGTATTCTTCCAGTGTTTTGTACATGTTAAGCAATAGTAATTCCAGACAGTTTCACACAGTTGGTAGCCATGTTTCATTAGGTCTGCCGTGTTGTCTGTACACGGACAGATCCACTGCTGCCACGATGGTTGCTAAACCACATTATCTTCACATCATATAAAGTTATGTATAAATTATGAATGTATGGAATAAATAAAGTGCTATCAATCTTTTTTTTCTTCCTGTAATTTAATTATTCACATGTGACAGTCCCTCCATGGTCTAGTGGACCTGCTGGAGAGCGACAGGTCAGAGGTGCGTTTCACCCAAATATACTGACGGAAACAAATAAATGAAAACATGACGTTCTTTTAATATTTTCCAGTTTTCATCACCAGCTTTGAATAGTGCTGTGGGGAGGAATCTGATAAATGAATAAAGGAACACAGCCATGAAGTGTTGTCCCCTTATTTGTTTCCTTCAGTATATGTTAGAAGATGGTACTTGTTGTCATTCTGCCTGGTGCTTGACATGAAGGGGTTGAAACTGTACTGGATGGCATGGTGTCAGTATAGTCATATAGATGGAATATTGCAGAGAGTGGGGCTACACAAGTAAGAGACAAAATACATGGGTTGTCTGGCTCAGACCAGAGTGATCACATACATCAAAATAGGTAATAGTTTCCAGTTTCCTCAGTGCGGTGTGATTTGTATATACTGGAATGTTTGTCACGATTATATGGAAGCGAGAGGCTCATGACTTGCTGTTTCAAAGTCGTAATGCATTTGGCAAATATTCCCAGATCAAGTCTTGGGGAGTGAGCGAGTTTGGTTTTACGCCGCTTGTAGCAATATTCCAGCAATATCGTAGTGGGGGAGACCAGAAATGGGCTTCACACATTGTACCCATGTGGGGATTCGAACCCGGGCCTTCGGCATGACGTGCAAACACTTTAACCACTGGGCTACCCCACCGCCCCTAGTGGAGTGATTCTAGTTTTATGCCGCTTGTTGCTGCATTTCAGATTCCAACCCTTGATCATAGCTATCCTGCTCATGCTGTTATCACTGAATTGTCTGGTCAGACTCGATTATTTACAGACCGCCGCCATATAGCTGGAATATTGCTGAGTGCGGCGTAAAACTAAACTCACTCACTCTGCCATGTCCAAGGGAGGTAACTCATCCAAATGTAACTTAGACAACAACCTCAGTTTTGGTGGGGCATACCGTGTTGCCTGCAGTGGCACAAACTCCCTTATACAGAAATCACTATATATACAACAACAAGATGATGTAAGAGGTGGCTAATCAGGTGTCTGGCTTGCTGACTTGGTAGACACATTGTGTAGATCAGTGCTCATGATGTTCATCACTGGATTTTCCAAACTTGATTATTTACAGACCGCCCATATAGCTGGATTATTGCTGAACGCGGTATTAAACCACAAACAAAAACCTGTTGACATGTTTGCTGGCTGGCATCTTCCTCCCTCCATCACGAGATATTTCAAAACAAAACAGAAGCTGTAATATTCAAACAGTTCAATTTTTTTATTCATGATTTTGGCAACACATTTTTACAGCTTTTGTCAACTGGAAAATACCATACACTTGGAGAGTCTGGATCAGTTCATAAAGCGAAGTGAACCACACTCTTCTTATAAATGAAAACAATCAAAAAAACTTTCCAACAAGTTACTGAATATATTATAATTGTATACTCAACTTTATATAGTGAAGTGGGCAAACCAAGTCATGTGACCAGAAGACGAATACTGAAAGAAGTAACAATACTTGATATGTGACAGCCCTGAATAATGAAGATGTGCCCGTGTGGGATTTTAAGCAATGAAAATGACATCTACTTTTACCCATCAGAAAAATTGTGAATTTTGGTTCTATTCATTCGTAAATATGATTAAGGTTGTCATTGAAAAAGTAAAAAAATAATTTAGGGGCACCTCGCTTTCAGGGAAATAAAATGATATTCAGGTCATCCAACATGAGTGCCACGATTGGCTAGTTGATGGTCACATGACAACCTTTACCCAATCACTGTGCTTGACCATGTACGCTATTGCAGTAATAGCATGATGCTGTGGCAACCTACAGGCCATTGAATAATGGGTAGAATTTCACAGGTTTCCAATAATACTTGTGGAAATCACTTTTTACTGTACTACAACACTGTCAATACTTACATATCTTTTATATTTTCACAAACTATATATAGTATCCCATATATTCAGACAGAGGGAAAATAGGATCACCTGGATGTTGAACATGTCACATGTACCATAAAATACACCAAGTCTCAAAATATATTTTCCTAACAAATATACAAGTCTATCAGCAACTCACAAGACAACAGAATTTTTTTTTTATTACTGCGGTGTAAACTTTGTATCAAAAAATTATGTTCACAGACAGTAAGAAAAATATAGAATTATATAAGGACTTTACAGAAGGAATCGTATTGCTTTGATTGGAAATTCATTGCACTTAAAACTTACAATCATTGTTGTCAGCAAAATACTGAATAAATTGCACTTTGTCCTTGCACACCATCCGTGACATTCAAAATGGGAAAAAATAATGAATTATTGTTTCATTTTTTTCATGATGTTTTCTTGAATACTGGCTTCCAATGAAGAAACGAAGAAACGAAATGCTGATCACCTGTGATAATGTTGGCCCTAACGCCAAAGATGTCTCACAAAGAAGCAAAACCAAAAAATAGAAAAGAGAAAGAAATATTTATATTATCTTTTGACTTCAGTAAATAAGCATTACACTGAATGACGTCAATGTGTAATTCCTCCGAACATTATTATCGCTTGGTCTAGCTGATCATCATACTGTCTACCCTACATAATCGTACCTTCCACCACGACTGCCTTCAAATCACATTTTCTGGTACCAGTTAATTATCACAGAAATGCTAGCCCTTTCGACTCCAAGGTTTGGGAACTAAGGGAGGTAACTATCCTGTGGGACTCCATGGAAATAATCATGGCTTTTCTCAATTTTGGAAAGGCTAGGTGGAATCTAATGTGACACAAAATGGTTCATATTCACGAGGAATCGCTGCCAGAGAGGAATATAATGCTCCAAATGTTCGTACTAGATGGGAATCCTCTAATATTGAAGAGATAATAGGGAAAACAAAATAGTATAACACGTATGAGGTAGCAAACAGTCTCCCTACTACAAGAGAGAATACAGACAAGACTAGGGATTTCACATGTTGATACCATTCCTGTATTCAATCGGATCCTACTTTGACGCGAACTTTACAAAACTCAGCATCTCAAAAATCGTTATAACTAGGAGGCCTTGCATAAAGCTTCAAGCCCCAACTGACTAGATTCATCTGTGTCTAACAAAAATTGGTTGCAGAAATATGACTTCGAGCCCTTCAGGTAGGTCTAAGGGAGACAACCCTGAGATAAAGGGAAGTAACTCCTATATGGATGATGGTTAAGCTATGAGTAACTTGAATAATAAATCAACATAGCACTCTGTGGTTGGTTCCAGCACCAAAACTGCATTTCTATAGTAAGACAACAATACACAAACAGAGTCTAGCTGGAACAGCATACACTACAGTCAACACTCCAACATGGACAAAACCCTGATTAGTTGAAGCTAACTCCCACACACATAAGGTAAAATGAAAACAAACGAAACTTCACACAATATGTTCAGTAAATAAACTGCACCAATGGTCAAGCACAGTGCATATTCTTTTTTTATTTGTTTTTTTTCATCATTTTTTGTCAACCATCATTATCCACATAAATAATGTTTTCATGAGAGCTTCGTATATTCCCACAGATACGGTTGTGCGGTTTGTACAGGCGTACTACACTGCCCTATGTCCCACACTGTCACTGAGCCGAGGTGGAAGCCATCACTTCGTCACTGTATACAATTCATGTATGGAAGTGCAAATAATGCTGGCTAATTTGGGGAATATTTTGACCTTGCCTGCTTTCACCCTTTTGTGACATAGTGGCACACACGAGCATTGTAGGACGCTGTATTCACAAGAATTCTTTACACATGGTCCTTCTTATACTTAGCGTATTCCCATTCCACAAACTTCAGTCGATATCCTAAAAAGACACAAAAATTTGAAAAAAATCCAGTTTTTCCAGCAATTTATGAAAGAAATGTTTGTCACCAAATCACTCATATTCTATAATAATCAAATTGGGAAAATTCTGCAAGAGATATATTGAGGAACAATTATCAGATACAGAGAAAAATATTATGTCTCCTGCTGTTTCAAGACTACGTATCTGACAAATTATGGCTTTTTAGAATGTTTTCTCCTTATAAATGTTCCCTTTACACTTTTACAAACATTTCCCAACTTACAAAACACACTTCTCTCATGCTAACTTATGACACATTTTATCGTTAACAAAACAAGAAACTATATTCAACTGGATTGGGCTCCATCTGACCGAAAATGACAGGCCAGGCTTCTGGTATTGCGATGAAAAACTTAAAGATACAGGACGGCATCTTGACTGGAGGACGAGAAATGTGGCAGCGGATGGTTCTCAAGATCAACTTGGGTGTTCGGTAACACCTTATCTCACAGTACGGAAATCTCGTATCCCCTTCCCCACCCACCCCCTGGCGCCGTCATCTCGGGTCAGAGAGAAGCCGATTGGCCGCAGCCATGTAATATCGTGACAAGAAAACAACACCCGCAAACAAGGAAGATAAGTATTGCAAACACAATATTGCATGAAGAGAACAATTATGCTAGGATGAATATTTCAATACCCTTATTACATTGTCTGTACATACCGTGTGACCAGACTAACCAAAAAAATATTGCGTTTCTTGTCCAAGTTAGTCTAGAGTGTCATTCCGTCTATCTGCATGGCCATTTAACACTGTCTGTTGAATACACTGTACCTGAACAATACCCTGACTGGGCTGACTTCTAGCTGAATGTTGGAATGTATCAATCAGATAGCTATCGGCAATTTGTTGCATTTGGATTAAGAACTGGCTTACAGACTATTTATGATTATATATACCTCTCAAAAGTTGGATAATATGCATGAGTGTTTACAAATGAATAAGTACTACATATGATAATGATTATGATAATACTCTTTCAAAAGGGAAAAAAAACAAAATCAATTTGGCAAATGGGTAAATGATAATACAAACTCTACAAAATCTCTACTGATCGGAGAATAACATCATCACATGAAAATCCACATAAAAAACTAAATTAATGTCATTCTAAATCATCTGTTTAACTATTGACTTCTTTTACAATAAATAAATATCTTTTATGAAAAAGAATATAGAATATATATATAAATTTCATATTCTTCAATGATTTTATAATTTCTTTATAAAAAATCTCTCGTAATCACCTTCTACCAATCTGTCCTTAACGAAAATACATTTCGCTAATTAGTCAATTGTCCAATCAACCAATCAGGTGTTAAGTACATTATTGTTAGCTCAAATTATTGCCTGGTACCAGGCTGGAAAACAGGAGCGAGCAAGCATTCATTAGTAAGGAGCAAATTTAGGTCGCTCTGCTTTCTTCATTGTGTTAGCTGTCACCCCAACCCTCATTTTGGGCATGAGATTTTTTCGATCGGCACTTGCATCCAAAACGCCCATATTTAGGCCTAGCATTGGCACTGGTTTCATCAGCTGACTCAGCGGAATTGCCAAGGGAGCATGGGATTGAACAGAGGTCAAGGATGAGGTTGTTGGGTTCGAGGTCGGGTCAAGGGTCAAGGTCTTATGCATTTCCATGCTGAAGAGAAAAAGGGAGGGAAAAAAGTATTAGACAAAAACACAGTCCACAAACCCACCACTACAAGAACATACATACATTTACATACAATGCCACAAAAATTACTGCCCTGCAAAGACTGTTAATGTGCTAGAGAGGGAGGAGGTTAATTTTTGGAAAGTGACGAAGCATTGTTTTTGCGTGTTTGAAAGGATGATATTCAAAATGATGCCAAAGGGCCAGTACGGCAAGGGACCACATCCACAAAGCGATGCTAAGGCTATCCGAAGCCTAAACTCTAAAGCTACGACAGCAACATGAAAGCAATGTGAAAGTGAATCCTAACAGATCGCATGAATTTAATAGAAAGTGTCCAAAGTGTGTACCGTGAGGTCTGTAGAGAATTAATGACTTGCTGTCGTATGAGGACATTTTACGCATCAATGCCAAATTTAGATCATATTCAGCTCTCAAGATTTGTTTTGTTTCCATATTCAGAGGTGAAATTTTGATGGGCAAATCCAAAAATCAGTCTTTGCAGAGGGAAATAAATAAACTGTTAGTGGTGACTTTACAAAAATATTGTGTATATTGAAAGAAGTAATGTGCAATTGTATATATCAATAACTAAAAGAGATTCTATATGTATTAAAATTAATATTAATTTGAATATGAAAGATAATCCTGTTCATAGAGCACCCATTCACCATTATGGATTAAGTGATGTAAGAGTATAGCAATCTTTTGTTAACCAGCTGTGACAGGCTATAGGCAAACTTACGCACAATAAATAAACATAAAATACAGCAAAACACCATGTATATAAACAAAAGAACACATTAAGCTGGGAGGCTTGTAAACCTGCAAAATAAACAATTCATGCTGTAAAATAACAGAAAAAAACCGATTACCGAAAAAATACAGCAGGGTTTCAAAATACATAAGCTGCTTGTAAACATTTACTCTCAATTTGTCCAAAAACTTCAAAATGATCAGCCAAAAATATTCTTGATTTTTGCCCAAAGATGAAATGTGTTTTGTTGAACCACTGTGATCAAAACAGTTTCAAACAATTTGAAGTTCAATTATTTTTTCAGCAAAGCAGAATTTTAATTTGGTTTTGAAAGGAGTTATGTCTCAGGCTATTAGTAATCCGTTATTACAGAAAGCTTTGGAAGAGGTACTGCTCGACAACACTATTATTTACATCAAGGCAAAACCATGCAGTCTGATACAAATTAATTGGAAGGTAGCTAAATGCTAGTCAGGGGAGAGGGAGGAATTCCGAGAGTAGTCGACACAATCAAGTTAGCCCTTATCTAGTAAACCAGACACTTGAGCTTCTATTCTATCTAGGATAAACACTGTTTATAACTGTTTATTCCTAACAGTCCTATTTGTCCACGCATGAGTTTCTGTGGTGATGCAGCCGTGGTCACAATGCATGAAAACTCTACAATACGTACAAGACAAATTCACACATGGCACAAGGGAGGCAATCCATTCAACAGCCAAATTATCTCCCCTTGGCAACGATTTCAAAGGACTTGAATTTCAATATTTGATTTCAAGTTATAGATAGAAAAACACGACAATGATAAATTCAACCTTTATTTCATAATGTGTATATTTCCGGTTTACAATTGTCATGATTGCAGAAATGTGCATCTGACACGTATATGAAAAATGTATTTCCATGCGTGCAATATAGGCCTCAAATGGTGCATACGACTTGATTGTTGTATGTGAAAGACATGAATAAGAATCTCAATTTGCAATATGCATGCATGACATTGACAGAAGTTCTAGATAAAAAAAACATTCACTAGACATGCCTGTAGAGGTGAACAGCTGATCACCAGAGATTCATGCTTCTAACACTAACTGGTCAGTAAGTAAAACCTAACACAGTTCCAAATAAGATTTGAGCAATATTCTTTTGCTTCTATATAAGTATGGATACATATATTTAAAAGCACAACAACAGTGAGCATGACAAGCTTCGTTACAGATTTATCCGATCATCTTGCAAGCAACTGAATCAAATTGCAGAAAGTAAAACTTTGCACGTAGCAAAATCATGAAACTGAAAATAATTCACAATTCATTCCAAACGTATTAATATATTAACAGAATTGACCTCATTTTATAGAATTAGCCTGCAGACTTTTCACAAATTTGTGAATTATCATTAATAAATATTTCTCATGCATTCCTGTTTTCTCTAATGTGTTTGTCGTTTGAGAGCTGAGACAATTATCTTGTGTTTTTGATGAATCAAAAGTGAATACTTTTGTTCTCTAGTAAATGTAATTTGTGTTTCTCAACAGATCAATCTGTTCCTTAGTTTTGAACAATTATTTCAGCAGTTGAAACGATTACGGATCTCTAGTACAATGTCTCTCTTGCTCTGAACGTGTGATAGCTTATTACCTTGAACCAATTCACTTGCTTGCAAGTGAAAGATCGTGGTATTATGTCATCAGACAATAAATTGAGTATTCCATGTTTGAGCAAACAACAAAAAGATCACAGAGTTCTCTGTACTGAGTCAATGGTTTACATTTAACTCCAATAAATACGCACAATCACTACAAGTATATACACTCACAACAAAACACATCCACATTTGTTTTTTTATAAATATGTAGTGATTTGATCAAGTCCATTTTTGTTAAAAGTGCCTGCTTACAAGACAAACTAGAAACTTAAAAACAAAAAATAAATATGTAAATAAGTTACAAATACAAGCTTTTAAAAAAAATATACACCAACATAAAAAGTCTGAAACTACAGAAAAAAAACAACAACAGCAGTTTCACAAGTAGTCACAATAAGACATTTCAGCATGCAGTGGAGAAGAGCTAGACATGGCCTGAACTACGAAAGCGGAAAACACCACGATCAACAACCAAATGGGCATGTCTGCCTATGAACTACTGAGGCAGCTTATGCAGTAGCCTGCGTATAGCCGGTGCGTACACGGTGTACACAGCTAGGGAGCAAGTCTAGTGCTGGATCACATGTACTCAACATTCACCTATGGCCCGTGGAATAGAAGCAATATGAAGTCTGTACCAACCTTGTGTTGATGAGGTATTGCGCCAGGCCAATTGTTTCTGGCGCCCCCGAGATCGTCACTTTCCGATCCGCAGATCCTTCTTCTGCATTGGAAATTTTAATGGTAGCACCCCGACAGTTGCCTGTAAGTAAGGAAGCGGTGTCATGCTTGGTTCTGTGGACTGGTGGAGAGGGTTCTTAACTAGGAGGTCTATATTCCAGCTAACGGCATTATCTGGTTGCCTGTTAGACTAGGTTTATATTGGAGCTATTGGTATTATCTGGTTGCCTGTTAAACACTGAGTGAGGAAGGCTTGTTACGCTTTTAGCCATTTTCCAGCCATATCATGGCGAAGGACTCCAGAAATAGGCTTCACATGTTGTAACTATGTGGAGAATTGAACCTGGGTTTTCGACGTGATGAGAAAGTGCATTAACCATTAGGCTACCCAGCTACCCCAAGCAGTGAGTGAGTTGGGTTCCAAGCTGCCTTGACAGTATTTCAGCTACATAGAGAATCCTAGCTGAGTGTTAGGATTCAGGGAAAAAACCACCGAGGAATGAAAAATCAGTCGAGTGAGTAAGGTTGCCACTTTAAGCCATACTCAAACAATAGTATGGCACAGGCACATCAGAAATGGAATCAAACTTGGACTTAAGGCATAACAAGCAAATGGTTTTACCACCAGGCTACCTCATCCTACCAGACCCGATATATCAAGTGAGTGAGTGAGTATGGTTTAACACCGCTTTTAGCAATATTCCAGCAATATCACGGCAGGGACACCAGAAATGGGCTTCACACATTGTACCCCTGTGGGGAATTGAACCCGGGTCTTCAGCGTGACGAGCGAACGCTTTAACCATTAGGCTACCCCACCGCCCCCCAATATATCAAACAGCATGTCATGTTTTGTTGGCCATTTTGTCACTTAATGCCGCAATTAGCAGTATTCCAGCTATATGACCTCAGTCTGCCATATACTGGGGGCAGCCTAGTGATTGACATCATGAACATTACTCCACAGTGAGTGAGTGAGTGAGTATGGTTTTACGCCGTTTTAAGCAATATTCCAGCAACATCACGGCGGGGGACACCAGAAATGGGCTTCACACATTGCACCCAATCGAACCCGGGTCTTCAGCATGTCGAGCGGACGCTTTAACCATTAGGCTACCCCACCGCCCCACATTAATCCACAGGGGATATGATGGTGATGTGAATCAACCTAGCCAGCGCACCTAAACACCCAATCCTTCAGACTCCTCGGACGACGAGCTGCTGAAGTGTGGCTGAAGACAAAACTCTTACCAGGAACTAAACAGGTTGTATAGTCACCAGTTGTGTTGTGTATTATGCATAAACAACAAAATGATTAAAAGGCCTGAGTATAGATACTGAAGCGTTGCACCAATACCACGTTACAGAAGCATAGCAACACTGAGCTACACATTACAACATTTGGGGGAAAGTTCTCCTTAAGCGTGGGGTTGGTCCTTTATAGGAGCATGCATCGTTTACACAATATATAGGATGTGAGATGATATTTAGACATGAGATGATATTTAGAACTTTACCTAATCTCATTTATCTTCTGTCCACCTCGGCCAATGATACAACCAATGAGATCGTTGGGAATTGTCATCTCGTGTGTCTGTTGATTGTTTGGTACTGCTGCGGTGTTGTTTGGCCGTGCGAAGTGGAGCGTTGTTAACCCTGAATATCATCAACGGAACAATGAGGCAACATCATTACATATACACACAATTGTAAGATTACAAAGTAAACAACATAGTTATATTGTCAAGAATACATACATTTCACTGAAATCCTAGATTGTGTTAGTGAATTTACGCCACCTTTAGTTTCAGCAATATTTTTCAGCAATATCATGGCAGGGGACAACAGGAATGGGCTTCAGACTTGGTACTAAAGTTGCAAATCGAAACAAGGTCTTTGGCGTGACTACTTGACTACCCCACACCCTTGAAATCATCGAAATGTTATCAGATAATATACAGAGATGTTTCTTTATGTCCTTATACAGTGTAAACTTGGATTCAAACCACTTTCTGCAATATTCCAGCAACATAGGCAGGGAAATCAAATAAGTTTCAAACACTGTCCTGAGAGCAGAACTGAACCCAGGTCTTAGGTGTAACAAGCAAACACTTTATCCATTAGGCTATCCCACTGCCCTTTAAGTTGAGCATCTTGATAATTCATCCCAATTCTTCCTACAATATCAATACTAAATACCACACCTTCCTAAATGAGGTAATTTCTATATATTTCCTTTCTTCATAAAAGTCAACCACAAAGCATACAATACAAACATTATATTTATAGTCAAGCAAACAATAAAAACATTTTATTTACTCTCCCGTGGAAGATACTGCAGTGTAATATTTTTACGTCAATATTACACCAGTGTAATACCGCTGGATGTATGACATCATAATGTTTTACAGTTATGACGTCACAATGCTAATACCTCTGTCAGAATGGTATTAGACCTTGCTTGACTCTCAGAAAGCTGAAAGTCATCACACGGTTAGAATGCAGTTTCTATCAATTTATGTTGGAAAGTAATAAACAGAATACTAAACTCGCTTCTGTGAAATACCATTTTTATTAAACTTGTGAAAGATTTAGTATCAAACTCACTTTCGTTCGTTTGATACCAAATCATTAACTTGTTTAATAAAAACGGTATTACACGGAAGATCATTGAGTATCCTCTATATATTTATTGCCCAAAACATTAAAAAGAAAGATTTCCCTGTGTTGTTTCTCACCATTCATGGCCATGCATCCTCCGGGCAGCACCGTCTGTGCTGTGGGAATCATGGGCACCGGATGGGCCATCGCCATGTGCTGTCCAGCCAGTTTGTTCATCTGAGAATTATAATCAATCTGCTTGGCTTTATTAATCTGTTTCTATCAACCATGAGTACTGCAATGCTTAAAACTACCTCAAACAGTACAGATATGTAATCCAATAAAACATCAGACCCAAAATTAAATGTTGAGACCATACAACTTCAAAGAATACATATAAACGTAAATTTTGATGAACAAAATTCATGACCAACACTTCAGATGAATTTTCTAAAAATAAAAATAATTTTACAAAAATACATATAAAGAAGATCAGTGGTGAGTGTTATATCCAAACTGTATTAGTAAACTAACAATGCTGATAACATCACAGACAATGCCACACAGAAACAGTTAGCATGCAGATCAATATCAGTACCATTAATAGTTACAGGTACCAAAATACTCCAGGTGAGAATTATTCAACTGTATAACATTAGTGCAATATACTATATAGAAAAAAAATGAAAAAGATGTATCTCTGAATCATATAATTTTATTCAGTTTTGGTAAATATTCATATTTCTTACGTCAGTTGACACACTGAAGGTGGGGAGACAAGCCTACATTGATCTATGTTTCTATATCTATCATACACAATATAGTAAACGGAGACAATAGTCAGATTGTCTCAAGTCCTAATGGCAGAAAACACTCAATAATCCTCATGGATATTGTTGGCCTTTGAACAACTTTTGGTCTTTTTCTTATATTTAATTAATATCAGCATGCAACTTCATATGAAGACTGACTGACTGAGTTTGGTTTTACGCCGCTTTTAGCAATATTCCAGCAACATCACAGCGGGGGACACCAGAAATGGGCTTCACACATTGTACCCATGTGGGGTCATATGAAGAAACGGAATGATATTGGCATTACTCAATTGAGACACTGAGGGGTCTGACTAGTGTCTCCTATACTGGCACTATATGATTGGATTATAAAAATAATAAAAGCAATGTACCATCTGTGGAGCAGTCTTTGTAGCACCAAACATATCCATGACATTTTGATATCCTACCTGTGGCCGGACTCCTCTCGTTAAAGGGGGGCACTTTAATTAACAAACAAAAATTGGAGTAAATTTGCATTCTTGTTAAAAAGCACACAAAGCATGCACACATTTGCCGTGTACTTCTGGACATTTTAATAACATGCAATTAAAAAAATAACTAATTAAAAAAGTCTAATATTCTGGATGCCAGGCAACCAATTGTGATATATGTCTAGATATGGATCATTCAGGCTACAAGCCGATTGAGAAAATGTATTTTTAGATAAATTACAATTAAATTATGAAAATAATTAACTCTTAAAAAAATAGCAACAAACAATATAATTCTTTCTTATATAATTTACATTTTTCTAAGTTGATCCAGATTCAGATTGATCAAGCAATTACACAAATGCATCCATTTTTTAATTTCAGACCATTATGAGTCTAAATTATATAAATAATGTATTTAATCAACATGCATGAAAACATAATGCTTAACACAAAATGTCCAAATTATTCCATTAATGCTCATGCTTTTTTCTGTGTCCAAAAATACAAAATGAGACTTCAAATCATCGCTTAACATGAAACATTCATTAACGAGAACTCACGAAACATGTATTTTGATAGGTGTCGTACAAGGCTACCACAAGGCAAAAGTGTTGGCAACATTGCCAGGTAGGAAGCAGCGAGCTCTTGCTTGTAGTTACGTTGCTCCTGTATATTTAGAGTTATTTCCCTTTGACCATCTTGACTCATGAAAATGAAACTTTGCGCAGACTGGCATAACAAGTCTTCCAAAATCTCATTAAATGTCACCTTTTTCAAAATATTGTTATTTGTTTGTGTTACGAGATTAAAACAATCACAATGCTTTTTAGTATGGTGTAATTGTGTGAGATCCCTCACACAACATCTTCCTCGTAGTGAAAGTCAATCTAGTTTGAATTGGTCAATAACAATTAATGACAATCAAAGACAGATTCTTTTGAAATAAAACTTTTATTTTCTGCATCTCTAAATATTTCATGTTTTGAAAAAGAAAAAAAAAATCCACAAAAATACGTAATTAATGACCAAACATTCTTATTAAAACACCTTTTCATATTCATTCTTCAAAAGAACTTTTCATACTTGAAAAGTGAAACATAATCCATACATAAAATGAAGGCCAAAATTTGTGTGCAGAACCAGAAAACTCTTTCCGGAAACGATATTGAAATGTCCTAAAGTTCGACTTTCACAAGAGGAAGTTGATTGGTCAGGTCCCAAGAACCATGTGACGCATATAACAGTGCTGCAGTTAAGGCGGCAAGTGGAGGGGTGGGTCACAGGTTAAGCTTTAGGGAGAGGAGAGGCTAGTGGATGGTGGCTGGTCTCACTTACCTCTGGGCTGGGCACAGGGGCCAACTGGTTCTGCACTGTGTATGCCTGGCCCCCAGCGAAGATGACAGGCGACACTACAGGTTTTGGACGGTAGGGGATATTGGCGCCCTTAGGAGGGGACTGTGAGGAGAGAAATGGAAGAGAGAAGTGGTTAAGACGGAGGTATAACAAGGTGACAGAGAGAAGCTACATAGACACCGACGATCAGCACGATGACATAGGGTCAGGCAGACCTGATCGAGGCTCAGATGGACACAGCTGAAGGTCCTGTTCTCAGTGACAGGGAGAGGCTAGCCTGGGCGCCGCCCCGGACACTGAAATAAGCAGAAACGCCACTTCTTTTTACAGACAGAGTCAAGAATTGCACAAACTGTAACACAAAACTAAACCAAGTTCTCCAATCACAATGCTAAGAATGAAACGGCCTTGACCTTGTCTCTGTGAAACCGTTAATTACTCCATCACGTTTCCTAAATGTCATGTCATGCTTTCAATGTACTTTTATGTTTGAGCGGGTTTTATGTTCATGGATACTTTCACAAACAAAATAAGAATACATGCAATTCCTGAAATACAGGCATGTCACTTTTTCTGTCATGCATGTGTTCAACCGAGGCTGTGAAAACCTGAAACCAGGCAGTGACCCATTACAGTATTGAATTGCTACTGCATGTTTTATCTACTATGGTAAGCACATCTATATTCACCAGTTTCAAATTTGCCGAGAAGGGGGGTTGGGTAGCCTAAAGGTTAATGTGTCTGCTTGACACACTGATGACCCAGGTTCTATTCCCCACATGGGTACAATGTGTGAAGCCCATTTCTGGTGTCCCCTGTCGTGATATTGCTGGAATATTGCTAAAAGCGGCATAAATCCATACTCACTCACTCACTGAGACATGCATCGGAAGTGGTGTCAGGGATAATTGCTCAACAGAGAGGGAGATACACCAGCAGGTATGGAAGGAGCTGACATCCACGCAACATCTGAAGTCATGTCTCCTTGAGTAAGTGTACAGACAGCAACGAGTGTGCTCTCACAAGTATTTCAAATACCAACAGTTGCTACACAACCTGAGAGGCTCTCGTGCCTCGGGTTCCAACAGCTTTCAAACACATGCCTAGGGCCAATTTCATTCTAAATGTGTAAAATAAATATCTCTTCACCATAGTCGTTGTTTACCCATCACAAGCAGGACTAAGTGGCATTTACTGAGCTCCAGCGAAAATACAACAGCTTTCTCAGAATTTCCGACAGCCGTCATACCTGCGTATTTTCACCTACTACTCCCCACCCAACTACTCCCAAAGACTCAACACAAGAGTTGTGTTCTGCACATTACATGCAAAAGTGGTTCTCATTTTTAGACAGGCAGTAGTTTGAGTGAAAAACAGATGCTTCAATTGTAAGGGATAGAGAAGTTAATCCTGGGCCTATTTTTCTAAAATGTTCACATGCTTGTGAGAACTGCTGGCGTAACATTTAATGTTCCTTCGCTGATCAAAGGTAGGTTGTAGGAGGGCTCGGGATTTAGAAGCCATGATGAAACAAATCTGTCGAAAGCAGCTGGTGAGGTAGACAGAAGGTCCAAGAGGGCTGCTTTCATGCCACTTCGAGGCTTGCGCTCGGTTCGGGGCATGCTGGAACATCTAGAAAGGATCTGTGCAAGTTTTTCTTTGACATTTTACGAAAAGCAAATTTGCTTTGGCACTGATAGTGTCTATTGCACATCTACCTGAGCAGAACTGTTCAAGAGTACAGCAAAGAAGGGGGAAAATATCCTCTTCTTCTCAGGTAGTGATCTGGTATGTTGCGTCATTCTGCAAGCTGACGTAAAAGATTCAGTGCAATCCGGTCAGGTGTGTATGTGACGTCAAATACCAGGTGCACAACTCCCACAACACTCACAACATCGTCCTTGATATATGATGTCAGCACATAACCTTTTTTTGTGGAAGAATTCTTGAAGAAGCTCAAGGTCTATCTTGAACATACAGATGTCATTTCATTTTTTTCACTGGCTTACATTAATTGTAATTATATTCTACTTAATATTTTTTCAAGGGTTATGACTGAGAAATAAAGATATTTCTGTCAGTAAGGTTATTTTTCATATTTCATTTTAAGTTTTTCTGGGTTGTTGAGTACGTCTGCTGTGTTCACGTCTCCACACCGTGCATGCATTGCCAGGCTGGTTTAGCTCAGCATGTACAAGTAGCTCAGCTCAGCATCTCTGCAACAGCTGTTCCTGAACAATACACTGCTCCCAAAATTTGACAATATGCATCTCTAGTTATCACTCTGGCAACATAAACTTGGGTCCCCCATAGGTGGGCAACATATGCAGAACTGCTTGTGTCTTCCCACTACCATTAGAACAGTCATCAAGCACTCACATGCCGAAGAAAGAAAATATATGTGGCAAGTCGACCTTGAAGCCGGAACATCACAAGTTCAAGACTGTTACATTTCAAACAAACCTCTACTGTGAGGTCAACGAACGGGGCCTTCACTTGTGTGAGTGAGGGGCGGTGGGGTAGCCTAGTGGTTAAAGCGTTGGCTAGTCACGCCGAAGACCCAGTTTCGAATCCCCACATGGGTACAATGTGTGAAGCCCATTTCTGGTGTCCCCCGCCGTGATGTTGCTGGAATATTGCTAAAAGTGGCATAAAGCCCAACTCAGTCAGTCAGTCAGTGAACAAGCATGAGAGTTGGGTCTAGCACTGATTTTGTACAGGATTCCAGTTCCAGGATTCCAATCACAACCTGACAGCTTGACAGAGGAAAACTTGATGTGATACAGGTCCTGAACACTTTAGAGCAATGGTTAATGACAAACCTAGAAACACAATCAGGGATAACTGGGGTTTCAAACAGATATAACAGATATTTTTGTCCTGACCAAGGGGCACAACTCCTCACAGCAAATTGCGGCACTTTGGACGACAGGGCCACCCAGTTACACTAAAGCTTTCTAGCTAAACCATCTCCATCATTAACACAAACATCTAACCAAGATGTACCACGTTACAGCTTCTAGAGTATATAGTATTTCACTAATTACAAGCAGGGCAATCCAAGTCACGATGGTCATACACATATGCTTACACAGATACTGAGGTATCCCTACAAAACTAAACGGCAGTTAGTGCCGTGATCAAAGGCTTCTTCTAAGGAGAAAATTGCCTCAATTAAGTGTACAGAAACAATGTAAGACCAGACAGTCAGGATGTTTTCTTTCTTGTTCTAGAAAACCTAACAGCATCCATATGCTGGGATCAACTTGCTCTTGAGAGTAACAAGGTCCGACCTACATCGGTTTGGATGATTTAATCATGCAGTGAGTGTTTGTTTGTTGTTAAAACTATTATCAGGACTGGGGACACCAACAATGGCTTCACACATGTGCCCATGGGAATCGAACCTTGGACCTCGTGGGTAAAAGCATGACCATTGGGCTACTCCACCAACACCTTATCATTCAAGCTGCCCCAAGGATGAGGAACTTGGGAATTGTGTTGGACATGCATCCATTCAGGGACGTGGCCACATACTGCGTCAAGGGACACTCAGCTGAACTGGTCAAAGCCTCTCATGTTCTTGTTTTCAAGTTTGTCAGAATAATCTATTCATTACCACAAATATAATTTCCCCTTTGGTTAGAGAGCAGTTAGGATATGGCTGGGGCCCCTAATCAGTGATAACAACGATCAATGCTTGCATTAAGGAATAATAATAGAGTTTAATGAATTGCTAGCACTAATGAAGACCTAACGAGATAGTGACTATTTGGAAGGAAATAAGGCTGTGATTGACTGGCCTGGAGCATGGAGCTTCAGCTGGGGACACAATAGTTGAATGATGAGGAACGCTGAGATCACACCATTTACATGCAGCTGTGGATAATCCACATACGAAGACAGAACTACCTTAAGACGACAATTTCTTTATATTAAGCAAACTGTGATTACACAATGTCATTTCAAAAGTGGTCAAATGTAACATATTTTTCTAAGAAAGTGTAATCCCAAATGTAACATATGTTGTATTAAGCAAACGGACAAAATAAAATTGTTCTGTCTGTTTAAGAGATTGTAACCGTGTTTCATTCTGCTAAATCACGCCTCATTTCTCGTTGCCTTCCTGAAATCACTGCTCTGACATTCCTCAATACAGGATTCACCACAAGCTTATAGGTGTGTTTCAACTATTTCTTAGTTGGCATCTTTCCTGAATCTAAATTTATGTCCCACCTACAATGTTATTCATCTTTCACATGACGAGCTTCGCAAAGTGAACACCTCTCCATCTTCTGACCCATCTTTGATCCGAATCATCATTAGAGAGTTTTTCCCCATATGTACTGAGCGACACTGGCAGCATATGTCTGCAAAACCAGGAGATGCTCGGTGAATCCTGGAGGAGACCAAGTCTATGCCTCCACCAATAGCAGGCAATGTTTGCCAGTGAATTAGCAGTCTCTATTCACTTAAGGATGTAGCATTTCCTTCATCAGAAAGCCTGCAATTAATTTCTTAAGACATCACAGGTCCCCTGATATGTATTAGAGTAAGATTATCCCCTGGCTACAAGGTATTTGGCCAAATGATCATCAAAAAGTATCCAGTCTGATCCATTAAGATAACCCAGCTCCGCATTAGCTACTTCTCTGTACAAAGAATCTACACAGGATCTTGTCAGTGCTTAACAACCATTTGAAACATGACGATAACATTTGTTAACATATTAATGTCCTGTATAAAGATCTATACCAGCTGTGAGAATGGAAACAAGAGAGCTACTTTATTGTCTAAGGAATTCAGGCACGCTCCAGTCCCCATTTCGCACTTATTGGAAATGTATTAATCACCTTGAAGTATTTGTACACATCTTCATGTGTAGCATATAGATGTATGGAATGTGGTGGTGATGGTAGATGAGGACTGCTTGAAGTGCCCCAGATGGTAGCTTCTGTAAGAATGCCCTGCAGGCTGAAGGACAGCCTCACAATAACCTCCGAGGGTTGACAGAGACACACTAACATCTGTGGGTTGAACCCTAGGGCAGCAGGACCGACCCACACTAACATCTCTGGGTTGAACCCTGGGACAGCAGGACAGACCCATACTAACATCTGTGGGTTGAATCCTAGGGCACAGGACAGACCTACACTAACATCTGTGGGTTGAACCCTCAGGGCAGCAGAACAGACCCACACTAACATCTGTGGGTTGAATCCTAGGGCACAGGACAGACCCACACTAACATCTGTGGGTTGAACCCTAGGCCAGCAGTACCGACCCACACTCAAATCTCTGGGTTGAACCCTAGGACAGCAGAACAGACCCACACTAACATCTGTGGGTTGAACCCTCAGGGCAGCAGAACAGACCCATACTAACATCTGTGGGTTGAATCCTAGGGACAGGGCACAGGACAGACCTACAGTGGGCTGAACCCTAGGGCCAGCAGTACAGACCCATAAACATCTGTGGGTTGAATCCCTGGGACAGCAGCAGACCACACCTGTGGGTTGAACCCTCAGGGCAACATCTAACATCTGGGTTGAATCCTAGGGCACAGGACAGACCCACACTAACATCTGTGGGTTGAATCCTAGGGCACAGGACAGACCCACACTAACATCTGTGGGTTGAATCCTAGGGGCAGCAGGACAGACCCACACTAACATCTGTGGGTTGAATCCTAGGGCAGCAGGACAGACCCACACTAACATCTGTGGGTTGAATCCTAGGGCACAGGACCCACAGCATCTCTGGGTTGACTAGGACAGCAGAACAGACCCACATGTGGGGTTGAACCCTAGGGCAGCAGGACAGACCCACACTAACATCTGTGGGTTGAATCCTAGGGCACAGGACAGACCCACACTAACATCTGTGGGTTGAATCCTAGGGCACAGGACAGACCCACACTAACATCTGTGGGTTGAACCCTCAGGGCCAGCACACTCACATCTCTGGGGAACAGACCCATACTAACATCAGGGTTGAACCCTAGACCCACAGGACAGACCCACACTAACATCTGTGGGTTGAACCCTCAGGGCAGCAGAACAGACCCATACTAACATCTGTGGGTTGAATCCTAGGGCACAGGACAGCCACACTAACATCTGTGGGTTGAATCCTAGGGCACAGGACAGACCCACACTAACATCTGTGGGCTGAATCCTAGGCCAGCAGTACCGACCCACACTCAAATCTCTGGGTTGAACCCTGGGACAGCAGAACAGACCCACACTAACATCTGTGGGTTGAACCCTCAGGGCAGCAGAACAGACCCATACTAACATCTGTGGGTTGAATCCTAGGGCACAGGACAGACCCACACTAACATCTGTGGGTTGAATCCTAGGGCAGCAGAACAGACCCACACTAACATCTGTGGGTTGAACCCTCAGGGCAGCAAGATGCAACCAACCCTGCAGGTTGAACCAGTTATGTTGTTATATTTTGCTGGGCCATGGCCGCTGTATATAATTGAAAACCTGCTAATGAAACTGACCAACATCCTCTTAAATTCACATTGTGCCAGTTCATTTGTCCAGCATACATGACCCTAAAACCAACTGGAATCGGCACATCCTATCTGGATGAACATAGCAAAGCAAGCAGTTGACCATGCATGCCGTTGCAGAGCACAGGGTGCCACACAATGGTGACACACAATGGTGAGGCATCAAAGAGCAAGGATGACTCACCTCCAACATGATGCCACAAATATTGCGGATGCACTGTGTGATGGCGTCGGCAGTGCCGGATATGGTGACAGCCCGCTCTGTGGAGTTGGGCAGCATCTCGCTAGCTACTTGTATGGATGCACCTGTAGACTGAAAACAAAAACATACCATGGTTAAATTTCATGTTAAATCATCATGTTTCATGTTAAATCCACATATTTATAAAAAAGGTTCAACAAGCTATATAAGCTTCAAACCAAAACATTTTTTAAAATCAAAACATACTGTAGGGAGAAAATGTAAATATCACTAAACCAGAAATTATTGATAAAATACAACAAATTGTGGTTGCTGAGATGACACTAGCATCTGAAGAATTCAGAATTCAGTCAACAATAAATTCAATCTGATAGGATGGTGCCACCAAACCGTGGATTGTATGACTATAGTGAGTGAGTTAGTTTTACGCAGCACTCAGCAATATTCCAGCTATATGGCGGCGGTCTGTAAATAATCAAGTCTGGACCAGACAATCCAGTGATCAACAGCATGAGCATCGATCTGTGCAATTGGGAACCGATGACATGTGTCAACCAAGTCAGCGAGCCTGACCACCTGATCCCGTTAGTCACCTCTTACGACAAGCATGGGTTACTGAAGACCAATTCTAACCCGGACCTTCACGGATCTTGTATGACTATAAACCACAGGACGAAGTTGCAGATTTCTATGTGCCATGAAGGCATCATCTCAACCTTCTGGATGTCATCTCAACTTTACAGGCCAATCATTTATAGATATTTATTGTAAATGTACACCAACAGTTGCTGGAAACTTGACAGGTACTACACAGTCCGAGTCTTTGATGGGAGATTGGGACATCAAAGAGTCATAACCTACAGCATCAGACAGATTTACACCAAGACTATCTGCCCATGTAGTTTTATTGGGAATGCGTTGAAAATATACTGTATGTACCACTGAAAGTGTACCAGCGGTCCATCATGGGGATGAATATACTGTGTACAAGATCTTCAGATAGAAACAAATTCACAAAATGATACGATACTAATTTTAACATCTTCATGAATTTTAATTTAATGTTTACCATCATGTTTCCGTTCAATCCTGAATCAAGAATGAGCAATATGAGGCAGATTCCAGAGGATCCTCTGAGGTGAGTGAGTGAATGGGTGAGCGAGGTAGTTTTATGCCACTTTTACCAATATTCCATCAATATCACTGTGGGGGACACCAGAAATGGGCTTCACACGTTGTACCCATGTGGGGAATCAAACCCGGGTCTTCAGTGTGACGAGCGAACGCTTTAACCACTAGGCTACCCCACCACTCCCTTACTGTGGGTAGAGAACCGATTATCAGTTTGCATTGTCTCACGGCTGTAAACTTGGAAACTAGAAATCTAAAAACAAATCAGGGCTACATGTACAACCATCAAAGAAATGACATTTTTTCAGGTTCAGCACAAAAGTAGCATTTTCAGGAATGATTACTAACATTTATAAAACCTCGAGCTCCCCTGCTCTGTAATAGCCCTTCATCTTTACCAGGACATTTATAGATTTGGGATCATTTTCTCCTATCTCAAACTTTTTCTCAAAGATGGTATTTAATGATTCGTTCTTGACAGATAGTAATCATTGTAGCTTCCTCTCTCCAGGACGTCATAACACATGGTGATATAAACATACCAACTATCTAGCCATCAAATAGATTCAACTTTTATCCTTATTATCCATAAATACACACTGAAAAGGATACCATTTTGGAATGAAACATATTTATTTCGATATCTGTAAACATCGTCACAAGCCGAATCACCTCTGGGCGTTGTCTTTACACATGAGAGGTTAGACAGAAAGGGGAGGGGAGAGGATTTCTAAATATTTACGTTCTTATACATTGATAATATGAAAATAAACACAATCCACGGGAATTAGGAAGACACCCCATCTTGTCTACCCAGCATGCCATGTGCAGTTGCAGTGCAAACCAAACCATTTTGGAACCATCTGGAAAACGGCAAGTGGCACTGACGGAACAACTACAGCTAACTCTGCTGGCCCTATGTGGGGGCACTACTCTGACAGTTTCAGCAACATTACCATATGTCTAGTTCCTGCTGCTGTTATCACACTTCAAGACAAAAGATGAGGTTGGTCTTCCACAAAAAAAAGAGACACTACAAAGAAACTATTTTCTTCATTATATATCTGTCTATTATTTGTGCTTTATTACCTTGGGAGTACCCAACAAAAACATAAATAAAAACCCTGATCTGAAAACATTCTTCTTCACATTAGCATTCTTAAGAAACTTTACCGTCCATTCCCTCCAAAAAGACGTCAGTTTGGATGAAGACTTACAATGTAAAATAATATATTTCAAATATATTTAAACAAAGATGGAACTATGATACAGAAATCAAAAGTTTCCAAAAGTCAAATAAATTTAAAAAGTTGAACGGTATTAATTGGCACCGAGAACCAAGAGACTGACTGACTGAGTATGGTTTTACGCTACTTTTCCAGCAATATCACGGCGGGGGACACCAGAAATGGGCTTCACACATTGTACCCATGTGGGGATTCGAACCCGGGCCTTCGACGTGACGAGCAAACGCTTTAACCACTAGGCTACCCCATTGCCTAGAACCAAGAGAAGATAAGAAGATCTACCAAAATACTGAATGTAAGTAAATGTCGTCTTTGAAATAGCAAAAGGAACCAATCTTTTTAATCCAAATACATGTATTGCATTTAATATGTTAGCAATTTTTCTGTGATTTCCTACAACTTGAGGACACGCTCCCTACCGCTAGCCAAGGTTATTGGTTATTGAAAGAATACGTAGAGGCCAAGAATAGTTCCCACCCCAGATACAGCTTCATAATCCTTCCACTCTAAAGGGCATTATGTCTTAATATTCCATTCATTACATATGTAGACCTGGTGTAAATAATTCCCACATATATGTGACATTACAGTTTGGAATCCCGGGATGATGTATGTTGGTGGTAGCCCCTCACACGTCAGTTGAAACCTACAAACCCCATTTCAAGCATAGATATTTATCAGAATGTCAAAACATGTAAAAGAAATGCTGCATCTTACTGCGATCAGTTTCCTCAACAATTGTACGCATATCTGCACAGATGCAGCCCCCCAAGTCTTCATCTGACAACAACATCTACAGACGAGTCTTGTCTCTAACATATCTCACCCAATCGCTACTATTATCTCCCTCACAGACAAGCCAGACAGCCATACAGAAAACAAAATCAGATGTTATCTACGTACAGGTGGTAATTAATCTCATTTTCACCCCTAAAACTTTCACATTTTGGGGAGAAATCCTCACATTGTTTTCCATCTTGTACATATTCATTCCTTGTTTTTTCGTACCCACGAGGAAACAAACCCTATCCCTCTTGTGACATTATCAGGGGCGGTTTACATCATATCTCCCAGAGCGAGCAAATAACAGTATCATCCAAATACAAATGTTTCTAAAAAGGAAAATACCAGTCCACAGATACCAACATTTTCGAATCGGAATCACAGCATCAAATGAATATTGCCGGGTGTTGGATAATAATTAAAAAGTCAGCCCGGCACGAGCCCTACTTCACATGCAGTGAATATAAGCCCTGGGGTTTATTTTCACAGTCGAAGTTTAGTCTTTGTGGGTGCAAAAGGAGGATTCTCACAATACACAACTGAGCTAAGGCAAATAACCAGTACGCCAGATAAAAAGACCTCTCAAACAGAAGAGAAACACTAACTCTCACGTGTGCTGAAAGAATCTGACTATTTGCTGACTTACGGGCTGAGGACATCCTTTAAACTATCTCAAGAATTTAGAAGGGTCCGGAATTATCAAAGTGTTCACTTTAGTGAACTGATCAGGACTTTTAAAGACTTGACAGTAATTGTTGCTCAAGGTATTGTTGACACACATACAAGATGAGCCTTGTAAGAGGTACTTCTTGTTATAAACAATTACAAAACAAGGAGAAAATATAAATCTATAAAGAATTTTAACTATCAAAAGCTCACCAGTGAATAAATCTATGTGCCAAGTTTAGTGAAGAAATATTGTTTGCTTTTGAAGATCTGCTCCAGAAACAAGCAGTACCACCATTTCCAGTCAAAGTCAAAGTTGTTGCAAATGAAACTCAAAACAATTTTTCTTAAAAAAATTTTCCCAAACCATCAAAAGGCACAAGTTGACCACTGGACAATTCCATGTGAAATACCGCCTCCGTGGTGTAGTGGTTAGAGCGTCTGCCCAGAGAGTGGAAGGTCGCAGGTTCGATCCCCGACTGCGTCATATCAAAAGACGTTAAGATATGGTACTTGTTGGTCCCTGCCTGGCACTCGGCATTAATGGGTACAATAAGGACTGGTCGGCTCGGAGTCAGTATAATGTGTCTGAGTGGGGTATTAATGCTTCACTGCGGCATGGTATCTCAGTGGGCTAGCACTATAAAACCAGCTTAAGTCTGGGCTAGTACAAGCAGCTGCACTGGACATTCACACGCATGCACGTCGTCATATGAGCGAAATATTCTCAAGCACGACGTAAAACCCAATTTCACCTCACCTCACCTCCATGTGAAATTGTTTGGTGAAAAAATATGGTACGGTTTTCAAGATCAGTTCTTGACATGACATCAAGGACTCATGATGGATGAAGGGATGAGACAACACCATATCCTTAAATTCTTTAAATTTGCCACCATTTACAAAACAACTGATAGATGATGACAGCTTCAGTCATGATCAACCTCGTTACTCATCAAACACCAACAGTTTCAAATTAAGCTTGAACCACAAAATCATTTTGGTCCATCTGAAATACTTTTGACGCCAAGGCAAAATGTGTCATGAGGCTACAACCTTTAAAAGTCTGCCTCCCCCCAATCAACACTTCCTGATGCTTCAGCTGCAACCACAACTACATGACACAACATGGCTAGGTCACAAATTCCACTATGGAAATATTTATTGTAACAGATGAACACTCTCGAATGAAACATACCTGCAGGTAAAAATAGGACTAAACTAATAAAGACAGTCTAAAAGTACCACTCCCACGATGCACCAGGCCGTTTACTGAATCCCAGAAATGTCAACATCAGAACGATGAAGTTTACACAAACAAATTCTGCAAGGTCTAGCTGACATCGAAACTGATCCTTATGGATTTGCGATAACATTTTCTCAAACTAGGTGGTCCAAACATGGATTCAATTCTGCATATACCCTAAAACAACCATGACATGTCTAAATAAATTGGCTTGCTCGTTTGAGGAGATAACAATGTGTCCGAAGGAATATGGATGTCATCGAGAGCAACACGATGTAACTTAAGTTTGCGTATGTGTATATCTAAGGTACACGTCACAGTTCTGACCTTTCGATTCACAAGACAGAATTTCTATCAAAGTATATTCACAATGGGGTTAAAACAAAGCAAGCCTTTTCGACTCTGATTGTCAGGAATAGGCTAAAACCGATTTACCATGAAGCATGGTGTATTTACTTGACATTTCAGAGTATTTAGACGTAGACTGACACAGGGCCTTCTCAAATTAGACAGTGCAATCTACACATCAAAACATCCTTTACATCAAAATTGAATAACAATAAATGGCTGCCATATGTTCTTTAGACTGCCAAAGAAACAGTGCACCAGACACTGCACAAGTCAAATGATTGATACGTCTTCATTAATCCATCAATGCCAACACAAATACACACCAACTGTTTGGATTCCTGCTACCAACTGAAAAAGAACTTTACCATAATACATAAATTTGTCCAATTTTGACACATTGATAAACAAGAAGGTACACGCACTGCTTAAACATAGTACCTTCACGGTTCAGAAGTTGAGAAAATATTCTTCAGTAACTTAAACTGACAATCTCCTAAAAGTTTTTTTGACACTGATCTGAACACAAGAAGTTCCAATATACTGCACATCCACAAATCCCAACACAGCATCATACAAAGAACTATGAGCATGTTTGCTAATGCAAAAATGTCTATGAGCAAATGATCCACTCCTCTCCACTTTCAATCTCGCAAAGCACTGCCACTTGAATCACAGAAAGAAGTGATGGAACAATTAGACCCTGTCTCCCTAACGAACCAAAGCCTAAACACATCAGTCACTAGAACTCCTACTTTCAGACAGAGCGGGTTGCAATTTAGAACGCCCTATTTTCACTGATAATAATATTAACGCAATCATTGTGGCACATAATGGAGGCACTATGTATTTCTTATTGATTGATAGAATATGTTCTGTTGGTGTACTGGTCAGGGTCAGAGGGAAGCAAAGGATAAACCCTCACTTCTGAGGCCTCACAAAGGAGATTAATCTTTCAGAACTGTTCTTCTATTAGGGGATATCAAACGAACATTTTCAGCTGGAAAATACTATTAATCCATTTACTAGAGCATGATCGAATGATTACCACCCACACCAGGTATTAATAAGATTGATTTTTCCAAAGTAAGATATTTAGTGTGCACTTCAAATAAGTTTGATTTATTCTTCATAAAAAATAGTTTTCGATATTTAATGAAAATGATTCTATGAACAAGACTTCCCACCAATTTTTCTGGACTTAAGTGAAGCAAATAAATATTTGGCTTCACACAAATTGTATACATCCAGCAATTCCTTAAATCAGATACTATGCAGGATATATTCTGCAATGGCTCATATCAGATACTCTGCAGTATATATCCTGCAATAGCTAAAATCAGATACTCTGCAATATATATCCTGCAATTGTTTATATCCAATACTCTGCAATATATATCCTGCAATTTTTGATATCCTATTTTCTGCCCTGAAATGTCCATGAATACCCTGCTGATTTAATGACATAGTTTGATAGGTAAAACCTGTACAGCAATGATTGTTTCAATTATCTTTTATGTCGTTATAAACAAAACAGGCCCCCTACTCCCTGCCATCCAGCGAACGTGAAGATCAATCTGCTAACAAAGCAGCTCTATACTACACGATGCAGCAATAAACATGACCTATCGGGGCTATCTTTGCAAATGTCGAAAACTTATCAATCCTGGATTAGCTTCAAATGAAATATACAGTCTCCCATTCCATCTTTTGGCATAATTGAAAGCACATGTCATGTTGTTTGCCTTATGACCTCAGACCATAAATATGTCATGGTGTCTTATCCCAATCATAGGGTGAGTCAGCTGACAGATTAACTGTTCCAGGCCAGAGCATCATTATAGACAATCAGCCAGGCTATTTGGACTACAACAGATGCTATCTTCCTTTTAAGTGAGAGTGGAGACTTATGCTGAGGACAGCAGTGAGTGAGTGAGTAAGATTTTACGGTGCTTCAGCAATATTCCAGCAATATCACAGCAGGGAACAAAGAAATGGGCTTTACACATTGTACCCATGTGGGGAATCGAACCCGGGCCTTCAGCTGATGAGCAAGTGCATTAACCACTAGGCTACACCACGCCCTGAGGTCAGCAGTACCTCCAGTCAGATGGTTCAGTAGGGATCCAGTTTGGGCCTAACAAAACCAGTGGCCAATGAAACCACACATTGACACAAGGTGGAACACCATAGCATATACCTGGTCAGCTGAGGTAGTACTTATCCAATCATTTTTCATGCTCAGGAGACATTTTGGACACCGAATCCCCAATTTGTTCCTGCAAGCGAGTGAATGAACAGCATTTTGGTTGGATCACTACATATTACCGGGGCTGGTTGGGTAGCCTAGTGGTTAAAGCGTTCGTTCATCACGTCGAGGACCCGGGCTTGATTCCCCACATGGGCACAATGTGTGAAGCCCGTTTCTGGTGTCCCCCGCCATGATATTGCTTGAATATTGCTAAAAGTGGCGTAAAACTAAACTCACTCACATATTACCGGGGTGTGAGCGACACCTTAAGTGATGGGGGTCTCGGACATTTACCTTGCTGACACATCCCAGAAACCAGCAATCAAATCCATGACAACAGATTCCTGGTACACCAAAGGGACATAACTGATGGGGACACACATGCCTAAGATATAACCACTGTAATTATGGTACTTACCTCTCTGATTTCTTTAATCTTGCACCCGCCTTTCCCAATGAGTGAGCCACATTGACTGGCTGGCACCACCAGCCGTAATGTGACAGGGGGTTTAGGCACCGTGGGTGTATTCTGAAGATCCTGAAGTCAAACACAATCCCTTTGTATTTCTGCATTTTCACACCATGTGCACAGTAAAGACAAAATTCAGAAACATCAGCTTATAATGGTATGAAAATGTTTAGATTTTCTTTCATGGCATTTTTATACACCTATAATTTGACTAACAATTACAATCTTTCATGGCATAAAATTAATTCATTAGTCATTACAAAGAAATGAAAACGTGCATTGTTTCTGGAATTCTCACCCCAGTAACCATGGTTATGATATATTTGGAAATACTTCCTATTTCCATACAACGGAAGATACATCAATCCCATCTTCATATAAGTCTGGGTTTCAAATTAAACATTAAAATATCACTCCATCTAGCTCCTAAACGTGAAGACGTCTGTAGAGATAAGTAGACTGTCATAATGGCAATGAGCTGGATTAGTTCTGTGTACAAGATCAGTGGAGGAACTCCACTTGGCACACCTTCCCAAGAAGAAGCTCTCCCACTTGTGATCAAAGCATCAAGTCTATGTCATGAAGTACAATACAGCATAATACCAATCTCACATACTGTGTAATTAAGTAGCTCTAGAATCTAGATGACAAAAATATCTTCCTGGTCGTATTTGGCGAGAGAAGCTAGAGGAATATCATATCCGAGAGAGAATTTAAACTACAAGAGGAGAAGTGGCAATTAAGTTTAATGTACAACGCTTGGCAGGAGTTGAGACTTAAAAAACAGATTTAACATTTTTTTCCCGCTAAAACTGACGAACCTCCTCCTCCAGACATGACACCCTCATTGCTATTTAGAAGACGGTGTTACACTTCACAGCTGTCGATATGCATGGAAATAGCATCACACTGAATTCACATGCTACTATCCTGAATACTATATTGCCTATCACAAGAAGGCTTTAGATTTGGAATATGAACTTTCAAAACGAAAAATATGCATGATCCTCACTATTTTCAAAATTAGTCCCATTTGTAAACATATATTTGCTTGTTTATTTTTGTTTCATGCATGAGAACATGTTCCAACGCAAGCTCCGACAGAACAAATGAATATTGTCTTACATCCAAGCCATCGTTAAGTTCATACAGTAGAATGTGGCGCCAAAGGTAGACTTACATCATGAATTTCACCGTAACACGACCTGCACCAAGGGTGAGCAAATTTACTATTTACCCACCTCTGTTCCATTTTAAAAACTGAAAGAATAATATTTTCATAGGTGTTTCCTTGGATCAAATCTATGTGATGCTTTTTTGATGTGTGTTCAGAAAGATTGTGCAGATAAGCAAAATCCTCTACAAAGTGCCAGACAGATCACTGTCTCATCTCAAAGATTCATCAGGGTTCAGTTGAATTGCACTTGTAAACAATACAATCAATCCTAAACACTGTATTCAATTATTAAACACAAACTATTTTTCTTACCTCTTCAAATTTTTTACAAATCATAGTGAATGCTTTGTGAATATTATCTGTTGAGCCGGTTATTGTGACAATCCTCTCTGGGCAGGAACCATCAGAGATGTTAATTTTGGCACCACTCTGAAACAACAGAAAACAGTCATGATTGATTCAGTCTTTGTAATTGAAGCATAAAGAATCAAAATAAAAGACAAAGTGAGCGAATGGGGTTTAACACCTCTTACAGTATTCCAGTTCTATGTTAGTTTGATGCAGAAGGAAAACTGAAAGAGACACAGGTCTCAGACTTCATGGCGCCAATGAAACTCACAAGAAAAAGGAAGATTCCAAACATGGTCGTTACATTTCAGGGATTCAAACACATGATTCCTGGCATGCCTAAGGGACATAAATCTTCAGAGCAAATTGACCATAAAATTTGAACATAATTCTTAAAACATGTGAGCATTAAATCTACAGACAACAAATAATGGTCACACAAATACAAGACTGGAAATATGTCATTAAGATATACTGATACTTATATAAACAAAATATATCTACTTACATCTTCCCTGAATTTCTTTATATTGTCACCTTTCTGCAAGAAAAAACAAAGAATGTTTAAACAGGGTAATAGAAATGAGAGACAGTCACTATGTCCACAAATTGTAGATTAAACGGATGGGCTGTATACGGCAGCCAATAACAAGACTGTCGCGCTCTAAACGCTGAGCTGCAATAACGAAAAGGCTAATGGCAACTAACTCCCCATGAGTGACACGACTATCAGAATCACTGACAGCCTTGAATAAACTCGGTGCCCTCACATATCTCAAAGGATATGTTCCCTTTTTAAAATTTGTTCATCGATTGAAAAACGTTACGTTTCGCTTTCATTCAAAATTGGGAGCCATCTCACACAGCAAGGAAATTTGTCTTGCCTAACTTGACAAATGCAATCTGCATTTTGAGTGACATATTAAATGGTTGCACAATCGTGCAGATTAGCATGTCTGTAGCAATTTAAGTCAAGCTGAGCCAGGCTTCTACAGCAGTGAGAGGGTGGGCTACTGTCAATGTCTTGCATGGAACTGACAACACAGCAGCAGCTTTTGAAATGATATAAGTGTGCCATTAAATCATTCAAATTTTACTCGCTATTTTAATTGCATAAGAACACTTTCTGAACTGGTAAAAACTTTTTTAATAGAATTAATTAAAAACTACTCAGTTCTAGGACCTTAAGCCTTCCCTGTGGCTTTTGAATAAATATGAAATCACACTACTTGAAAAATTATCCAATAAACTCAGTTAAGAAAAGCAGATTGCTCAAATAAATGTAAATGCACAGTGCGCCAATGTCAACACTTCCTCCAAAAAAGCACATTACTTCTAGAAGCTCAATATACAACATACACCTGTACGTGAGGTTGAGAATATTTATTTCCATGCAAATTAGCTGGCATGAGGTTCCCCAAAAAATTACAACTATCTCCCTTTTTATAAAAGTGCAACACCCTGCCCCATCACAGATCCGGCAAGGAGTGCTGGGAGAAGGCTGCGATTGAACCGAGATATGTCCATTACTGTTAACAATGGTTGATGGTGCTATGATACACCTCTCCCTGTAGCAGCAATGTTGAAGTTTAGCATGTGAGTAGGCAACTGATGGTGTCTGGATAAACACACTGGGCAAACACTAAGCTTGATTCCACCCCCTGGGCCATGTTCAGTCAGAGAAAGAAGGACTGATACTATGGTGCCACCAGTGATCCTAGAAGACTTGAGACATCTTCATCTCAACATCCGGCTATCACTGTGAAGGCTACAAAGTTTGAGAACCAACTTGTCAAGCTCCACTAAGAACTCGTAATAGGTCTTCATAGTTTGATGGACAGCTTCTTCAAACGATCTCCATAGTTATTGATTAAGGTGGTGTTTTCCAACCATTTTCTTACACTGATGTATCTGATATGTAACAAAGCTTTCAGAGTGAATTGATTACAATCACAGAGGATCACGAAGTGTTAAACTCTGATTCAATAACATCCAGCCTTCTAGTCCATGTCAATAATGGATACTGCAGAATCTGTCTCGTGTTAATCCACCAGGCCTGACTATTAGCTACCCACTGAGTGGCCACAGTGTCCAGTCAAGTCAGGACAGGTGCCCCTTGACCAGTCCATCAGTCAGTCTTGAGGGACAGTGGAAGTTAATTGAAGCTGGTCTACTGCACACACAGACATATTTCATGATGTCATTTTGATTGTGGAGATCACAGTCCAAGACAGAGTGCAAGACAAAGCCCCTCTGGGAGCCTCTCATTCACTCAATTGTTCAGATCTCTACCAGTCAAACTGAACCATCTGTCTGTACAAGTACAGATGACATCATAGGTCAGATCTACACTTCAGTATTTACAACCTTCAGTTTGTTACCGGACAACACCTACTTAAATAGTAAAACCTAGGATATCTTAGGTCAGTTCCACACTGCAATATTTACAACCTTCAGTTTGTTACCGGACAACACCTACTTAAATAGTAAAACCTAGGATATCTTAGGTCAGTTCCACACTGCAATATTTACAACCTTCAGTTAGTTACAGGACAATAACTCTACTAAAATAGTTCCAGTAATGAAATCCCTGAATCAAGTTCATGAACTCTGTAAATGTAATCAGGATCCGGCTATTCCAGAAACTGTATGCATAAAACTGGCAATAAAAAATGGGCCAAGGTCATGTAAAAACAAAGATATCGACATCATGGTGCGAAAAATGAGTACGTGCAATGTAAGTTCGGTTGAAAAAATAGTCCACTTTCCAATATCACCATCTGCCACAACAACCACAAACTATAAGAAAATTCTTTCTTTTTTTGTCACCAATATATATAAAAATTCACGGACCATTTCTTCTTACCAACATGTGGAATACCGATCAATGCTAGAAATTTAAAGACAACTGCATCTATTACCCAATTTCATCCCTATCCCATTAGGAGAAACAGCCTAGTCTGTATTATTGCTATCTGTCAGCCCCCTGCCATGTACTGTGCACTTGATGAATGACTTCGGGGACAGGAGCATGCAGCCCCTGCAGGCAACATCACTTGCCCAGCTGGGCGGGGGAGATCGGCGTAGGGGGCGCTGCTCTCACGTCCATTATATCCCACTAAATCTCACCGCGGGTCTGTTACTCTGCATACACACACCCTGTTTCTTTAATCATGCTGCAATTCTCTTGCATCAGTATACCAGCAAATCCAACTACTTTACAGGAGGTTTGCAAATACACCTATAAATCGTTTATATTATCCCAGTGCATGCTGGATAAACAAGTAGATAATGTGTGTGTGTGTACAGGTGATTGTTTGATTAGTTTAACAACCAGGCCAGAAATTGTTTGAAAATTATATATTTAACCTCAGTGGTACCCATCCATTAATATCCTTCCAAATAATTATCAAACACAGTGCCAGAATACTCAAAAACGTCATAAAATTACAAGATTCCGCAAGTGATCTATTTCAGGAAGACGATACTCGCAACCTACTTTCCTGGTACTAAAACTATTTACAAACTTTTGCTTATATAAGTTCATAGGGATGGAATAATTACTTAAAAAAACATCCCTGAGAAAACAGATTAGGCGCTGGTAAATAGCTTACATGAATGAGACTGTTACACAGCCAGGATCTGAGGCAGTGGGGTGTGTGAGACTACGATCCCCCCAGGGACCCCCCATGGCCCAAGTACAAGGAGAGTTTAATGTGGAGAGAAGGCTGGGAGTAGTGGGTATCCTCTCAGTGCCTTCTACACCATGATCCTCATCCCAGCAATACCTGACACCCTCCATGTTGTGTAATTTATTACCTGAGTTTCTTGCAGCAGAGCCAGGACTGAAAGTCGTTCAACTCCAGGCTTGATACTATTAACCTACTGCCGTGCCTTATCCATTAACAGAAAACACCCAGTGCAGCACTGTCATAAGGCATATTATGGCTGTTATAACACCTTTTTAACAATGCTTATATTTCAGTTCTAACATACTTAAATTCCATTAACTTCCCTTAAATGTCAGAGGAACAGGACTCTTTTCTTGGCGCTAGGCTGGCTAATGACAAAAATTGGTAATTTATTAAAAGTAAGAATATTGTTCCGATTAAGGTAACTTTGATACATAGGCCTTTGTCTTAACTATAGCCCATGCAAAATTGAAATACAACTTATTGGCCATTAATCATGAGACACTGAATAAATTTATAACTTATGTTCTTTAAGCCCCATATTTTTATTAGGTCACTCAGTTTGAAAATATTTGAAGCTATACATAGCCTATGTCAATGACATAATTAATTTCTAAAATTGGGTCAAAATCCCTTTAATGCATTTAGATTTTAGATTGATTAATACTACAAGATATACACATGTCATTAAATTTTAAATCAAAGTGAAATCCCTTTAATAAAACTTTACTTTAAATAAGTCAGTCACTCCATAATACTTTGATATATACATCACTTATGCCAAAGTCAAAAGTAATTTCTTCATCACCTGATGCAGTGAGTGAGTGAGTGAGTTTAGTTTTACGCCGCTTTTAGCAATATTCCAGCAATATCACGGCGGGGGACACCAGAAATGGGCTTAACACATTGTACCCACGTGGGGAATCGAACCGGGTTTTCGGCGTGACGAGCTAACGCTTTAACCACTGGGCTACCCCACCGCCCCCATCACCTGATGCAACTTCAAATGGAAGAGGTCACTGATATGTCAACGTGATCTCTTAACCAGCACAAATACTACATTCCAGGTACAGAATGTTCTTTTTCAAAGCAAAAGATCCACATTGAAATGCATACCCTCCCCTGCCTTCATTGAAACATCAAGAATTTCCTGGAGTCACAAAAGCCGACCAAGAAACATACTACGCTACTTGTAGAAACAAGTCAGACATGCTCAAAATGTTCCACGGTTAAAAACTTCCTCTGACAAAGGCACCGCATCGTGAGCAGGTCTTCTTTCAATGTGTGAAGCAGATGGAGGAAGCCGATTAATAATAGCCTATTTTTAGTGTGCCATTAGGCAAGAAGGTCTTGAGGGCTACCAGATTAAATAGTTACATTGTTGACACACATAACCCATCTTCCTTTTTTCCATCGAAATCAACGCGCTAAAATATTGACACGGCTCCGTGTAATTCAACAAACAGTGTTGTCCAATCAGTAAGTTCATGATCAAGAAACCCCCAGGTTAATTTGCGCCACATGCAAAGCTGGCGTTTTTCTCTCATCTTTGTGTGCAGGTAGCGCTACGTGTCAACCTCACAAATTAATTCTCTCGCTAACCTCCTCTTGTGAAATTCCAGATCAAATTGCATTGATATTTATGATTATACTCGATTGTTGTAAAACAGGGGATGAGATCGATGGCAGACGTGACTCAATGAGGACGCAGTTGACACAAACCTCAAAGGAAAAAACAAAATGTTGTGCTTTGCAAAATGACATCAAGTTCTTCTATCTTTTGCTCTGGAAAATGGTGTCAAATCGTTCTCTTACAGTTTAGCGAAAAAGGAATCAAATTGTTCTGACAGATGTTTTGAAAAAACAGTCAAATTGTTCTCACTTATGGTTTGAAAAACAGACTGTTCTGTATTATGTTCTGGAAAATCAGCAAAGATGTTGTCTCTTGTGCTTTTGAAAAACAGTAAGATTGTTCTTGCTTATGGTTTGGAAAACAGATTGTTTATTGTATGCTTTGGAAAATCAGCCAAACTGTTCTCTCTCATGCTTTCGAAAAATTGTCAAATTGTTCAATCTTATGTTCTGGAGAAACAGCCCAGTTATTGGCTATGATGGTGCTTTTAGTGGTACAGGATATGGTGGCCTTTGCATACAAATCTGTATTGACAACAATGTGTATGATACAGTGACAATCATACAATCTACCCCGATTCTGAGCTTTCCTATGACTATGAAAATGGTTTATCACTCATATTTAAAAGGCATCAAAACAGTCATAATTATAATTATGATTTGATAAACATATTTCCATGTGTTTAGCATTAAAACATAGACATTAGACAATCTGTCCTAAAAGCAATTCTGAAAAAAAGATTGATATATAAAAGGAGAATTAGAAAAAACAAGAGCCAGCTTTAATTCATTTCACTGACTGAAATCATGCTGTTGTACTCTAGACCAGATACTATTTACAAAATCAGGAAGAAAAGATTTCTCACCTTGCCAATTATGCTTCCAACTTCCTGCAAAATAAAAGAAAGAGACAATTAGGATCACAATTTTTTAAAAATAGCAAACTACTTCATGTACAAGCATAACAGAATATAGTGTTCATGTAAACGTCATAGCTGTTCAAATGTACAGTGTTATATATCATGGTTCAGTTACTGTCCTAGTTTGAAAGACATCAATTAACTTTTTCGATTTCAATTGATCAGTCTTTCAAGAAAGCTGTAATAAATCTGTAATATTTACAAAACACCCCATGAGTGGTCTATTTTCATGGTGATAAACTGAAAACGAAACCCCTCGAGGCTTAGATTAAAAACAAACTCATTTATAACGCACTGACTTCATAACTGAGCAAACAAATCAGGACTATAACAAATGTAAATCAAATTAAATCTCAAGAGAACGGAGAACTGTGTCAACAAACTGAGAATCGGAAATGACAACATAGGAAACTAATACCTTCTACCAACTTGATGGAGTGAACGCAGGTAAACCGTACCACTTAATTGTCACATGAATGCTTCTACGACACCATTTACACAACTATAATACCCAACTGAGCTGACAATCAAAGTATTATTGCTGTCCATTTTGAAGCCAGTCATAGCGCCACACTAGCAGAATTCCAGGAAGTGCATTATGTCCATTGTAGTCATTTATCGTCCAACAGTGCTTAGCAGATAGCGCGTACGGTTGAGGGTGAGTATGCATGAGAACGTCAGAACAAAGGCTTTAGTTGTGTGGCAATTGGTTGCAAATAGCTGGTGTATCGCTCAGTACCATTCCGCTTCCACAATTAAGAGGCAGTATCAACTGATACTCCACTATCTCAGTAATCTGGCATTGAGATTTATCGATTAGTATTGATGTTTACAGATTTATTGCATACCATGCATTACTATGGTAATGGTACCACGACTAGCTAGGTGATATAGAATTACAAATATCCGGCTTATAATTTGTGAAAATCTGCCTAAAATCTGATTTATTTTGTTTTAGCAATCTGACTCCGCTTCATTTTTCTGGTTGTAGGATTTGAAATCGACAAATGCTTAGTCTATGGATATATATATAATTCTGATACAAACAAACAACTCTATTTAAACTGAAAAGGAGCCCCAGTGAGTTCAGGGACTTAGGACCTGGGAAATCTAGACTTGCTTCAATTACAGATTTTTGCATTACAGAAAGGGCTGAGCCAAAGGGAAAAAATATAGTTTAGGGACAGTGACATGAGACGGACTAGAATTGAAAATGAATGAAATTTTTTCCAAAAAATGAAAATGGATTCAAAAGGGAATCTTAAACATGAAATAAAATTGTTCCAGATCCGGTAATGTACACTCTTTCAGAGGAAACGTTGAAACGTCCCAAAACTAAACCTTCGTATTTGAAGAAAGCTAATTGTCAAGTCGTAGACTCAGCTGGTGGACTTTATTTCGGTCACTCTGCTTGGTACCACATACTTGTAGCCTCAGACAACAATGGCTGGAGACAGGTATATGGGTCAGTTACAAGAAAGTAGTCAGGAATCCCCCAGGTAAACATGTTTTTCCACATGTGTTTGGCATCTTGTCTAAAGGTTAGGGGTGAGTCTGTACCTTACAGCCAGGGCACTGCCCACCTCACCCCTCACCTTTATGGCAGCCTCAACTATTCCGTGTCCATTCATTCTGTACATATAAACAAACACTTATCTATTAATGCCCTGAACAGCGTAATTACTAACAGGACACATTCCTTCACGCGGTCAGTCATCAATGTCGATCATTTGTCTGGTCACATTCTTAAATATTTGTCGAAATGCAAAAGTTCCTGTACCGAAATGTTCTTTGAAATAACATCATCAATCATAACAGACTTAACATCAAGGTGTGCATGCTGTTCGAGATATAAACCCATTTAAAACCTATCAAAGATTTCAGGAGCAGTAAAACCTAAATCTTCCATAAGTAGTATGAAATGCATCAATTTACAAAAAGAACTACATACACAACCATTCTTAAACAGAAAACATACAGCTCCAACCATTCTGACAAAATAAAAATCTTATCATACGATAACACAAGTGAGTAGTAGCTTTATCAGTTCTCAGCAGACAGAATTTGTGATATCTGATCGTGTTCAATAGACTCCCCATCAAAATCCCACAACACATAAGCAGTTGTCAGAAAACATCATCTGTCAATGATTTAGCTGCCTGTTACAGCCGACTGCTTCTCCGTCCCACCCCGTCAGCCTCATCTAGTCTCAGCAGCTCTTGGTACTATAGCGATCACTCAATTACTTCCTCCAATGGCTTGTAAAATTACACAGACTATCGATCTGTATTCAACTGTATTTTAGGGTATTTATCGCCTGGTATCACTTACATCATTGGACGGCATCCTGTTACCAGGAAGTCAAACTTTAATCCTTTCAAAATTGTTCAGTTTGGTTAGCGCACAGTTCATTTCCATGTTAACCCTCTTTCAATTTGTCACCTTCAATGTTTTCCTACTTGCTGTGGGTAGTTTTTAGTACAACGAAGGACTTCTGAACAAACCTTTGCTTATTCAACTTGTTTTGAACAAGTCGAAAACATGTACAGGTGTCCTTCAGCAAATACAGGAACATACAACAAAACAGTTTAATTTTTGCTGCCCCACGAGAAACAAAACACATGTCTTCGGCCCAGAACATCTCTGTGCATTTCTTGAACTTAGAATTAGATAAACAATGATACAAACAGTTGGCGGAATGAGTGCAACAAAAACGCGCAGCACTCAGCTTAGGGTCAGAGATTAACACGGGACAGGCATTTTATGTTGCAACAGTTGTACACCTATGTCCAATGTGGTAACGATACAACACGTGCCCAGATCAGCCCGCCTTGCTGATTGTAAACAGCTGATAATGCTGTTCCCTGTAGTTTGTATCGGGGCTAAAGTCAGCTAAGTAGTTCCACCTCCTGTGTACATCAGAGTCGTGGGATGTGGCACGATTAAAACACCAACCACTGGTGCCAGGTCACATGAGAGTTGTCCGTCAATCCACAGAGGATTTGTCTTCATCAAAGCTACTGCAAGCCCCCAATATGACATTTCTTCAGAACACTGAACACCACAAAATCCCAGTGGGAATGAACTCAGATATACTACCCAAAAGAAGTTAGAGGACACTCAATCCTTTCATATTTAATCAGAGTAATTTGGTGATCTGTTACATATTTTGAGTAGTATATATCAGTCAAAAAGGAATATGAAATAATTGAAACAGACAAGACCATTTCCAAAGTCATAAAATATCTCATCAAAAAGCACCTATTGAACAATTCCAGCTGTATCATGAAACCTTTGAAAAGTTTGCAAAGATATAAGTTGATTAAAATTGATTAAAAAAATAATTAAATATTTGACTATGTTAGTCTACTTCAAGTTTAAACACAAGCTACCAATAATATTCTACTATTGAACATTTTGGTACCTATTTCACAAGCCCCCATATCTGTTTCCTCTTCATGGACATCTACCAACTTACACATGATGATCTGGAAATGAACCTCAAAATCTGGCAAACATCCTACCCTGAAACATGCTTATAAGTGACACCTGACCAAACCAGCCGAGAGAATACAAAGAATTGATGGACATTCAATATGGAAACTAGCTCCTGTTCTCATCTATCCCGTTTGAATACAGCACAGTACTAAGTATTTCCTCATATTTAAGCAACATGTCCCTATGAACCAAACATCTATATTTGTGCAAAGGATTCTATATTGGTCCCTGAACTCCTCAAGCTGGAGTTCGCCACAGGGAAGCTGCAAACCCTCAGCAACTCGGCCACTCTGAAGATGATTCTGGAGCCTTAATAGGCAGGAAACCCCAGGCAAAACAAAGACAAAACTTGTCCCGACTTCACCGCCTAATGACCACTTGTTATCACAACTGTAATGAGCATTGAATCAGCCTATGGATAAGGTCATCTTTGATGCCAGAGATACAAGTGACCATTGGTAGGTCGCCATGTGACGACTGCTCCTGCTTGTCTTTGTCTTTGGGGATTGTCTTTTATGGAATCTTTTGATGACGTGGGTTCTGACCCTTTCGCTCAGGTTACGTTTGTGATCATGTAACATGACCTTCATTTCAGGGGCTTGAAATCTTTAATCTAACAGACTGCTCCTTAAAACTGCTAGATTATCTGACACCAAATTTTATGAAAGGCTTAGGAGCTACTTTAAGTTGTCATTACATCTCTGAAATTTCAAATTTAAGCTTGATGGTAATTTCCAAATTCCTATGAGCACATGAGAGGCTGGTACTATTTTGATGTCCTATCATAGAAAATGTTGTCTCTACTAATGATATATGTGACCCAGCGGGGAGTGCAATTATTACCCTCTTGTGGGAAGGAGGCCTGGAAAATGAGCTCCCTCTCTAGCCATTATTTCCTACCTGCCAGCCAAGTCCCTGTGGGGACATATTTTGTAGAAAACAAATGATGCTTTTGGACTGAGAGGCCTGTCTTGCCCAGAATCAAGACCTGAAATCTGGCCCTACAGACTGGGGACAAGCAGACGCGGACAAGCAGACGGCTGACAGGGACTGATGCGCTTTACACAGTGTTCCAAGAGCTGACGCTTTTAGTGTCCTCAAAGCCTTGATAAGAAATACTTCCTACTTACGTAGACGGAGCAAATGTAGAATAAGACATGTCCTTGTTGGTACTGATGTTGAGCGTGTGATAGTCTGATAGGTGTAGGATGTGAACCGAACCTATATTCTTACCCGCATATTTGCCTTGTCTAGAAAAACAGGATTTAATCTGAGCTTGATATCAAGCAAAAGGTTTCCTTTATTTATCATCCTTCTTTCAAGCAATCCGTTACCATAGATAATCAAAACTGGTTTATCAGTTTCATGACATTACATAAATATAACTTGTTACACTCTTGTAATCATGCAGATGCCATTATGATACTAATAGTTCCTTCTCTTTCAAAATGTCATAAAGTCAGTGACCTTTTCAAAACATTTTGTATTCAGCTTACATTAATTTGATCCATCTCAAAATTCACAGAAATAACAAATTTAATATAGATGATTGGAACACATGTAGCTCCTGCGTTTGTACATGAGAGTAAGTTTTTAGGAAACACATCTTACAAGGTGGAGCCATATGGCTTCAATCCCATTTAGAGACTACCATTACAGGCCGGTGCCAATCTTATCTCCTACCCGCATCAAACCCTCACATTTTTCATCGTAAATAATTATGACATAAAATCTTGTTGTAATCTCAATTGAGTGACTTGTGTACCAGAATCCCACAATTCCAGAGATCAACACATGTAGTAAATGCCTGCACTGACGATCAGGCGAGAATCTGAAACTGGCAATGTCCTGCGTCGGCACGCGCCAAAATAAATAGCACATGCCGTGTGGCGTCATTGCTACAGCCACATTCGTATTACATTGACGTACCATATGGTGCTGTTCTCCCACTATATTAAATTAAAGCAATTACCTACTTGCACGTTACCCAGTCTTGTACTGCTCTAACTTAAAGATTTATTTCACTTCACAGTCCTAAACATTTAATGAAAACAAACTACTGACAATGCAACTACAATGAATAATTTTTACCTTCAAAACAGATTTGTTTTAAGTCTCAAAGCCAATGAGTACATAGGATAAATGAATTTGAATAAAACATGATTTGGTTAATTTACTGACTTTAAGCAAAACAAATCGTTTCATTTGATTAAACTGTAATTAAGTTATTCTTGTCAACATCTTTATCACATATCATGATCAGTCTGAAACGAGGTGGGGAATTTCTCCAGGAATCTAATCAGGGCTGTTGCAATTTACAGTAATTAATTGTGTGTGTAGTTTAAAGTATGTGAGAGGCTTGCATCTGGCTGTGTTCATTATTCATGTGTGCTGACTGCAGGGTGAGGGTTATCATGTAAGCTGTCAAGACCCTGTCAATGGCTGAACACCATCTCCTGGGATTCAGCTCCAACACTCTGACAAATGGACCAATTTACCTTATCCAGTCAATCCCCTACTTGTTGTTCGTCTTTATCATTATTTTAGACTTGTGTTTTCTCACTGATAAAACAGTTAAAAGGTTACAATTCATTTGCACTTTTATTTAGATTCTACAGAAATGAAGTTTTAAATGTAATCATCTCCATGATAATTCCATCACAATCCACATGATTTATAACAAAATGAGAGTAATTTATTTTTCAAATCATAGTTTCACAGAGGATGTTGATTACGAGAATTATTTTAGCAAATTTGTCACCTATGGATGTAATGATGATGATGATGATGATCAATTACCATAATCTTCTCTGGACATTCATAATTACCGGTTGGTTCGCATCCCCCAAAATATGCTCTCAGGATGATGATGATGATGATGATGATGATGATGATGATGATGATGATGATGGTGATGATGGTGATGATGGTGATGACAGCGGTGATGATGATGGTCATCATCACAAATTATCATAATCTTCTCATTTTATGACTATGTTCTGGTTTGCATACCCAAAACATTCTCTTAAGATCATCACCATCATCATCATCAATTGTCATAAATCTAATTTTATGACTATGTTCTGGTTTGCATACCCAAAACATTCTCTTAAGATCACCATCATCATCATCATCAATTGTCATAATCTAATTTTATGACTATATTCTGGTTTGCATACCCCGAAATATTCTCTTAAGATCACTAGTCATCATCATCTTAATCATCAATTATCTTCTCTCAACATCTTACAGTATTGGTTTGGTCAACACCTCCCAACATACACTGAAACATCACCAGTTATGCTCAACACAACTATATTCCATCAGAACCATCACTTCTCACAATCACCTGAAAAGTTTACAAATAAATTTGTTCAGCAAAAAACCAAACACAATCATTTGCCAGGCTTCAGATATGAGCCTAAATAATCAGACATATTTCAAACCCTGTCCACCTCCATCACCGGCAAGACAGTGTTCCATTTGATCTGATTATAACAAAGGAGATTATACTATTGATCTATATTGATATTATTTCAGCTAAGCTAGAAATTATGACCAAGAGTAATTAGGTCTTTGTCCTTCATGTTCTACCTCAACAGTTTCACGTGGAACAATCCGCGACGTAGAATGGAATTTTCATGTCTATGGATTCACAGGAGATTATGGGGTTGAACTATAAATCCCATTTGTACATGAAAGAGCTTTAGGACTAGCAAGGTATCAATACTCAAGGTGCGGACACAAATCTTGCAATCTACATCGTTTTTCTGTTTAGTTATGTGCATCAATGCTGTATTAAATCATAATTTCATTAAATAAGATCATAAAACGTAACGAAATGAAGTAATTTTCCTAAAATGGCCTTTCCACTGCAGCTGTAAATATTCATCTTTCATTACATCTAAAGGAACATTTTTTATTATTTGACACTTTATGATTATGTGTTCGTGAAATGTCTATTATCTGAGAAGGGTAGTTTTATATGGAGAAATTATCAAATTCAGTCATGAAACAGTGTTCCTTCAGACAATAGTTTTTCGGACTGACGTCTGTCAGTGTCATTTTCATAATTCTATTTTGATCAATTCATCCACAATACATGTGTAATGCAAGTATAATGCTATTCACTAGTGCAATATGAACCACTATTGGCTGTTCATGAAAGACTATTAACATATTCATATCACTCCATCATCCCTCCCCTTTTAAAGAGAAGTATGTGAAAATGGCATATTGTACATTGTCATTAGGTCAATGTTTTCAATCATGTTTTGATACATGTATGAATAATATTTTGGGATGATATGAGCAAATTTGTCAAGATTCTGGATTATTCTTTTGAAAATCAAGTGTTAGTAAGAGACAACAGTTGGGTTTAATGCCTTGGTATTTCAGTATTATGAAGGATAAGACAAGTGTGAAGACTTCACAGATATCTACCACTTGTACCACTCGAGTGAGTATGGTTTTGAGCTACTTTAAGCAATATTCCAGCAATATCACAGTGGGGGACGCCAGAAATGGGCTTCACATATCATATCCATGTGGGGAATTAAACCCAGGTCTTTGGCATAATGAGACAAGACATTAACCACTAAGCTACCCCACTGCTGCTACCTATCAACCTACCAGTGATAATGACAGACCAGTATTATAACAACTGACAGTAAGTCTGAGATTCAAATATGAGATTCATGCTTTTTCTGTTTGGTGCATAACATCACATTCAGCAATATTCCAGATATATGATATGTCTGCGTCAAATGAAACTTATCAAATTAGGACCAGACAATCCAATGATCAATACTGGGAACAATGAACCACTCTGTCAAACCATAAAACACTTTCACCGAGTCACCAAGTCTGACCACACCCATTGGTCATATCTGACCACAAGCACTTAATGCATGGACATTTTAACCCTGACCTTCACAAAGAGCACAAGTGAAGTGTTGAGCCTTTGGCCACCTCGCCCTGTAAATATAACTGTGACGTGATTGTTTCAAGAAATAACTGTGTACTGACCTTGCCCTGCATAATATAACTGTGACATGATTGTTTCAAGAAATAACTGTGCACTGACCTTGCCCTGCATAATATAACTGTGACCTCTCCCTTTAAATATAACGTGATTGTTGCACGAAATAACTGTGTACTGACCTCGCCCTTATATAACTGTGACGTGATTGTTTCAAGAAAAAACTGTGTACTGACCTTGCCCTGCATAATCATCCTGATCGTGAGGATCGTGGACGAGTTTGTGTCGTTCTGCACCATGGTTTTTTCTGTTGCCATTACAAGGAAAACCACCAAGATAAAAATAAAGGGTTGTTGCCCCTTCTCTCAATCTTTGTTATCTGGAAGAAACAGAACAAAAGTTTAATGGGATATTCAAGAAAAAGCACATTCAGGATATAGCCCACTAAAATGGATACTAAAAGCAAAGAATTGAGTCGCATGATAACTGTGCGATGAATGTCACTGTCAGTATGAAACTATTCTCGACACCAACACAGAACGGCACAATTATGACAGATAAGAAGAGATCATATTTATAAGATATTTATTGCATGATTCGATGAAGGAACAGTGGCAATATTCTATAAACTACAAATATAAACACAGTAGGTATAAAGACGTAGAAATTCAAAGGTACATTCCACATATATAATGTTAAATAATATTTTTTCGATACATTCACACACATGCTCATGAAAACAATATCCAAAAATCACTCCGATCACTTGCTGCCAGAATTATTTTTAGCCAAATCAATTAACTGTTTATCCGTGTTCAAGCAACCATTGACAATAGTGAACAGAGAAAATACCTCATCAAATGTTAATCCAACAACTCTCTTTGTCTTGTGCAAAGTGTCAAAACATGTATGTCCTTATCAAGCCCTCTTGTTCAAATACTATCTGCCTAGTTCTCATGACTTGGCGAGCTGACATACATGGACAGCACCACAGTACCAGACAGGTCAACACGGTGCTGGTTGTGCTGGGACATTATATAAATATGGTTACCTCAGAGTTACATTCAGTAATATCACTTCTATTATTACCAGTTGATATTTAAGCTCATTTTTAACGATATTCAATGGCAATATCGATTCAGGGTATAACCCATTTATTCAATGTTAGGTAAAATTTATGACGTCAAAACAGCATGTCCTGTTTTATTAAAATCAGACTTGATGACTACGCGGTACCCCAAGGCCCCACTTCATTATGTCTGATTTAAACGATTTCTAAAATGTGAGATACAAAAGCATCTATCCTGAAATCCTTGTAATGTTGCATTTTGATAAATGGGACATAGATCATTGATAAATACTTCCATACTATTTGATAGTTTTGTTCATCATAACAAACAATTCTAGATTGACCTGACCTTTCTGAAAGTATTCACAAAAAAGTCATCAAATATGCGCACAGGCTCGTCCCCAAACTGCAATAAAGCAACACTGGATATTTTTTATTAATGTCCAACAGTAACATGTCCAGTGAGTCAATCCCAAAGCCAAGCTACCACACACACCATGAGTACCACCGATGATGAAAATCCGCGGTCACAAATCAGCATCCCTTTGATCACTGATGGAAGGTCATAATCGCATGACAGCTGAAGTGCTATTAATTTCAAAAACTGAAATTGAACAATACTGAAGGCAGGACATCACCTTCAACATTAACTACTGCTGTAACAAAAAGTGGAACCAACCTCCTATCCCATCAGAGAACTCGCAGCAATATTCTCACATACGTCCAAACTCGGCTCAAATATTCCATAATCTGGCCATACTGTCAACTGAGGCTCATGGAACCGACCATTCTTCCCAAATCAATGTCACCTAACTCTATAAATCTGAGCTTTATTAAGCATAGCAAATCTGCATAACAAATGTAGCCTGCCTGATTATATTGGCGGATCAATGGAATTTGGTAGGAAAGCAGCAGCACCGAGTCCAGTAATGGATAAATAGGAAAATGGGAGTGTGTGGAACCAATTAAGTGTAAGAGGAGAACTGTTGTGGACAGTTGATTGTATAGGAATGGTAGGACGGACCTTTTAGGAACCGATTAAACATGCTTGGGGCAGAATATAGAATCAAGTATTTAATCAAAGGGTAAATCTTGTGTTAACTTTATGTTTTATATAATCGTTGGCATCAAACCATTCAGCTGTTTATTTAATGCAATAACACATGTTTCATTAACCTCAACAGTTCTATAAACCTCTGCAAGTCTTCAAACAATATGAAAAATGAATGCCCAACAAGAACAAAGGACATAATTACATCTTTCTGAAATATCAACTGCTGTTGGACTTGTCAACCTTTTCATACAAAGTAGTATATTATTAATAGAACAGCATAAAGTAAAGTTTTCAATGCTAACGATCTTCCACAATGCAAAGTTGAGATTATCTTAGGACTGAAAATGAATTTTCACATGTGTGTGTGTGAGTATGGTTTTATGCCACTTTAGCAATATTCCACCAATATCACGGTAGGGGACACCAGAAATAGGCTTCACACATTGTATCGGGTTTTATGCCACTTTAGTAATATTACAGCAATATCACGGTAGGGGGCACACATTGTATCCCTTTTCACATCTAACTGAAACCCGGGAGTTATACTATTTATCATATAGCCATGTAAACTTAGGATAGTAAAACAGGGGTACAATACAAATGATGTGGTTAAATTCCGTATTCCACCCCAGATTCCGTATTGAACCCCTGCCGGTTCTACATTGCTATGCTATGATTTGTTTTATCAAGTAACAGATTAATGCAAGATGAGAGGGTATAGAATACTAGTACTCTTCAAACTCGTTTCTCTGCTCCCATGACATCTTCGAGTTCACTACAAAACATCCAAATGCACTAGTATGACGTTCTATATATTTATATGAACAGTACAACGCTAATTCAGAGTATAATCCACCATATTAAGTGTTATCACGTAAACCTAAGGGGTCTTGTCAGCAGTAGTCATGGATTAGGCAGTGGATGATGGTGGTGGTTCACGTGGATCAACTGACATTAAAAGAGCAATGTGTCATGGTCTGGATGGTAGCTGCCCGAGTTGCAGTTGCAGGTCCAGTCTGGCATCTGACGGCAACCACTGCCGTAAGCCAGCCAGCAACTGGACGCATACATCTCCACGATATTGATCTTTCAGTGATTGAATTCTTGTGATAAGTGACAGGAAATCTGGCAGAATGCGACTCAACAAGCGGAGATCCAGTGGACGTAATTAGCCACGCTGCGGCCATACTACCCTTTTCCTATCCTACAATTGGTAATTAATTTTCACCAGCTTTTGTCCCGAACTTGAGCATAGCGGACAGTTGCCATGACGAAGAGGTTTGTTTGAATGTCCGCGTCCTCGTTTTCCCATTTCTAGAGCAACTTTACGGAAATTGTGCACAGAGCTGTGGGTTATAATCGCAACAGGATCAATAAACATCAGGTGTGATTTTCACGGTGGGGACCTCATGTATTGATTGCTGTGTTTTTATATCCCACCACCTTTCAACCTCGCCAATCGACATCATACACAATCGGCCAATCAATCATGGAAAACCTATTCAGTGCACCATCAGGCAGGCGTAATTGTCTCCAAAGCGTTCTTCTCGCACCTCTAATGTGCATGAGCCAATTGAAAAGGCAATAATTACTTTGAAGAAACTACCACATCATAGAGTCTTGTTGAAAGAATACATTGGAAAGGGCTTGAAAATGATAGCATTCTTGCAGGCAAATGAGAGATAGCCATTGATGGAGACATTGTCACAGAACCACCACGCATGCTACAGGCTATAACAGCACTAACGCTGCTTGTGATACACCGTTTTTATAGAGTGTTGATCACGGTCCAAAACACACAGAAAACTCGGGATGAGAAATTCCATGTGAATAACAATTGAGAGCAGGAATCTGTCAAGTTATTATCATAATTAAAGAGACCAATTAATAAATAAATCCGGGGATAGTGGCCATTAACTAACTGAATGTCCCATCAAATATTCATAAGTAAGATTATACAGGTGACAAGGCTGAGAAAAGCATCACCACTAATGAAAGTCAAATATTCATGATAATCTTGAAACAGATTGTATAGATTGCAGAATTGTGAGGAAGTAAAACCATGAACGTAAAAACTATGACAAAGTCAAACATTTTTCATTGAGTAGGTCTATGAAACACAACATCAATTTAACATCAAAACCTAAACCCTACACCAAGACATTACTCCAAACAACGTGAGCCGCACTAAACCCATTCTTAGTTTTTTACATGAATGAAAAGAAAATATGATTACATGATCCGCGAATGAAAAACATAAATAAAAGCTTGTAAAAAGGTTGAGTCGAAAAACGAATGTAACACAGCTTGTAAAAACTGGCATGTCGACGAACTAATGTAAAATACTCACAGATGAAAGTAGAATGGATCTGTAAAGCTGGGCGGAAGGAGAGGATTGTTCAGCATGGGAGGAAGCAGAAAGAGAGCGCGATGGAATGGCTGGGGGGATGTTTCTTGCACTCAGAATGAAGGTTCGCTAACAGGCCATTAAAGATACCCGACGGCCACGAGCAGAAGCAGCACTGTCAACAGGCTCGACCTACGAACTGGCGACTATAGCTTGCAGATATGTGCTTAATTACCAATAGGGCTGGCTCTTCTACCCTTTGTATGTTAAATATATTCATCACATGTGGACAAAATATCCACAGATCGGTGAAGAAGAAAGTACCACTGTCATCAAGAATACACTCGCCAAATTTGTGTATGGTGAAATGAGAATGTCCAAAATATAAGTCATTAAGAAATGAACATAGGAGCCAAAAATTACATAATTCTCATCATTTAGAGTTATCTCCCTTTTGAAGGATGACACAGTGAGATATATTGCTCTTCCCAAGGCTGTCATGTGTTATTCAGGCTGAAGATGATCAAGAGAAATAGAGCTGGGAGATTCCTGTAACAGTGTATACACAATGCACCGCCCCATACAGCTGGGAATGACAAAAACACAACGGGAGATGTTAGCAAATGGCCAAAATATGAAGTACCAGGTGACAGCGATGGGTAAAAAGCACAAAATACAGCTTGGAAAGAAATAGTCATGAAAAAAACAGAGAAATAGAACCACAATGCCCCACATACGACTGAGAGGTTTAAAGTATTATGTGACATTCTCGGTGAAAGCCTCACTTGTGAGAACTCCAGCATCACCAATCACAGTTGTACTGCCGTGATGCAAATTACAAGAAATTTTACTAAATATGTGAATAATAATTACGTTCATAGAGACATCTACCAGTAATCCACTTTAAAC